GAGAGACCTGCTTGTCCTCGGGGACACTCATGTGACCAAAAAGGTTTGAGAAGATGTCCTATTTAACAAGAAATCTGGTCGCCGGCTTTGGAAACCCAATGCGCTGCCTGCGGGCCCCAAGCAGAGCCCCACTCCGTACGGCTGTGGCAGGTCCCGGGGCCGGGCCTGCGGCCAGCCTGGCCTTGGGCCCCAGCAGCTGCAGCCAGCTGGTGTCCTGGGCTCTGGAATGCCACTGGGGCCTGAGGAGCGCCTGGGGTGTTGACTGTGGTTGGGGTGGGGATATCCAGCAGGAGGAATTCATGCTTCCCAGGCTCTCCTGACTTTCTTTCCTCCTTCCCCAGAAAGGCCTCCACAGACGGCAGCACAGTTTTTTTTTTCCTAACATTTTTTTCTAACAATGTATTAAAAAAAAATTGATCCCTGGGGTGCTTGGGGGGCTCAGTCGGTTACATGGCTGCCTTCGGCTCAAGTCTTGATCCTGGAGCCCTGGGATCGAGCCCCTGAGTCAGGTTCCCTGCTCAGTGGGGAGTCTGCTCGAGATTTTTCTCTCCTTCTCTCCCTCTCCCCCTCCTCCCCCTGCTCTCTCTCTCTAAAATAAGTAAAATCTTTAAAAAAAATGGTTAAAGTGGTAAATTTTCTGTTATGTATATTAGACCACAATAAGAATAAACAAAGTAATACATGCACATGGTGAGCATAATTTATTCAAGAAAGGAAATGTTTGGGCACCTGGGTGGCTCAGTCGGATAAGTGTCTGCCTTTGGCTCAGGTCATGATCTCAGGGTCCTGGGGAGGAGCCCCCCGTTGTTGGGCTCTCTGCTCAGCAGGGAATCTGCTTCTCCCTCTGCCTCTGCTCTCTCTCTCTCTCTCTCTGTGTGTCAAATATATATATATTTTTTTAAAGAAAGAAATGTTTTCCTATTGACCCTCCCCATCCCCTCCCTCTGGCCCCTGATCCCGTTTATCTCCTCAGAGTTACCCATTGTTAGCAGATGCTGGTGGATCCTTCCAGACATTTTCCCTAGATGTGCTTGTCCTTCACCATGTTTTGTCCTTATACAGATAGAATCATGTTGTTGACTATACCATAATTGGTTTTCCCCTTGCCAATATCCAGGCCATGTTTCCATTTTGGTCTAGACGTATTTGCATCATCCTGTAGAGGGCTGTGTTTTAGGATATTCCACAATTGAGCCAGTTTTCTGCTGATTTTGGTAGCTTCCAGCTTCTTGGCTCTACAAACTATGCTGCACTAAAGATCTTTATATGCCACATTACTTTTGACATCGCTGTGGGAATATATCTGTTGGGTACATTCGCAGACCCCTTCCTGGGTTAAAAGATATGTGTATTAAGTTTTGCTAGATGTTGCAAAATTGCCCTGCAAAAAGGGTACTTCCTGTCAATGGGCTCTTTGATCCTTCTTCCCTTCTTTCCTCCCTTCCTGCCTGCATTCTCCCTTGCTTCCATGGCTCCCTCCTTCCTTCTTGCTTTTTCTCTCTCCCTCCTTCTTTCCTCCCCTCCCTTCCTTCCTTCTTTCTTTCCTTTTTCCTTATATCTGAGAAACAGAGAGGCAAAAACTTTGCCTTTTCCATAGTAACATGACAGGAATAAAAATGAAATGTACATCACAATTTCCTATAGTTTGGTGGTTCAGCTGGTTCTAACTCCTGGGTATATTCATCATCTTGCTTTGTCATATCACCGCATTCCATTAGCATTTGGCCTGTTGATATGGCTTAAATTATCTTGCAAAGTTTGGGTCTGAGGCATTTGTCTTGTCCCTACTGAGTTAAAAATACATCTTTAATTCTAATAATGACTGAGCACACTCAGGGTATAATTTTGTATCTGGTTGTAATCACACTTTCTTTATATGATCATTTCCCTATGGTTTTTATTTCATCTTTTGAAGAAGTAAGAAATTTACATGGCTCACAATCCAATAATACAAGTCAGCATACTGTGAAGTTTTTTTTCTCCTTATTTCCCATCTCTGATTCCTCCTGCCTCCTCTATCCTCTAATATCCTATTTTTAGTTTTTTTTAAAGATTTTATTTATTTATTCATGACAGACTCACAGAGAGAGAGAGAGAGAGAGAGAGAGAGAGGCAGAGATACAGGCAGAGGGAGAAGCAGGCTCCATGCAGGGAGCCCAACGTGGGACTCGATCCTCGGTCTCCAGGGTCACATCCGGGCTGAAGGCAAAGACCGTGCTAAACTGCTGGGACACTGGGGCTGCCCCCTATTTTTAGTTTCTTATATATAATTCCAGGATTTCTTTATAAAATACAAGCAAATACAAATATTGATTCTTAACTGCCCCCCTTTATACACAGAATGTAGCACACTAATTGTTCTACAACCTCTTTTTCCTCCCATGTTATCAATATACCTTGGAAAATTTTCCTTACTAGTAGATTTTTTCCATAGTTCCATATATATCAGGTATTCTATTATGGAGGGAGCTTATTTATTTAACCAGCCTTCTGTGGATGAGTATTTACTATTTTTTTTCACATTATGAACATTGTTGTAATGAGTATACTTGTATATGTGGTCACTTGAGATGTGTACAAGTCAGTCTTAAGTGTAACAGTGGAGCTGCTGGATGAGAAGTTTTCTCTTAATTTTGACAGATGCTGCCAAACTTCCTTGCTGAAGGAGTTGTACCACTTCACCATTTCACAAAGAATGTGTGAAAGTTCCTTTTTCCATAGCCTTACTGATAGGGTGGATAATCAACTTGTTGGATTTTTGCCAATCTGATGGGTGAAAATTGGTATCGGCAGTTTTATTTAAAACATTTAAAAATATTTTATTTATTTGAGAGAGAGAGAGAAAGAGAGAGGGAGTATGAGCAGGAGGTGAGCAGAGGGTCTGACACAGGGCCCGGTCCCACGACCCTGAGATCATGATCTGAGCTTAAGTGTAAGCAGATGCGTAACCGACTGAACAGTCGTGCAACCGACTGAGCCACCCAGGTGCCCCTAAAACAATTTTTTTTATTACCATGTGCATGCATTCATTTTTTTAAAATTTTTTTTGAGATTTTATTTATTGATTCATGGGAGACACACAGAGAAAGGCAGAGACACAGGCAGAGGGAGAAGCAGGCTCCATGCACCGGGTCTCCAGGATCGCGCCCTGAGCCAAAGGCAGGCGCCAGACCGCTGCGCCACCCAGGGATCCCCTGCATGCATTCATTTTATAACAAATGTCAAGCATTTCTCAAATCACGGGCTTAAGGAAGTTGAGGTAGATTTCTATGCTCATACATGGGAGAATGTCCAGGTTAACAAATGATTTAAGTTACTGAACAATGGTATGCACATCATAATTCTATGCATACATGTGTCTGTGTAGTTGTACATAGAGAAAGGTCTGGAAGGATAGATAGAACTTAACTGTGGTTACCCCTGGACAGTGAGAATAGGGAAGGGCCTTAGTGAGGGAACTTTTAATTTTTACAATAGATTTTTCTATGGTTCTTGCCTACTTTTTAAGAAATTTTATTTAAATTAAAATAACAAAAACAGCTCACCCGTTTCTCCTGCCCCTAACGCCCACCTCTGGCAACCACCAATTTGTTCTCTGTATCTATGAGCTTAGTTTGTTCGTTAGTTCAGTCCTTCCTTCCCTCTCTCCTCTCTTTCTTTCGTTCAATTTCTAAAAAGATTTATTTGTTTATTTTAGAGAGAGACAGTGAGCACAAGAGGCAAGGAGAAGGGGCAGAAGAGAGAGAGAGAGAGAGAGAGAGAATCTCAAGCAGACTCCTCACTGACCATGGAGCCCGACACAGGGCTCAATCTCCAGACCCAGAGATCATGACCTGAGCCGAAACCAAGAATCAGTTGCTTAGCCAACTGAGCCACCCAGGCACCCCTCTTTTTTAAATAACTATACGTTTTAGGTTACACATAATTGAAATCCTATGGTATTTGTCTTTCTCTGACTTATCTCATTAGCAAACTGTCCTCCAGGTCCTGCAATTACAAATCCCTGTTCGTTCAAACTGGTTCCCAAACTTATTTAATTACAGCACCTTTGCTTCGTGGAACCCTAGTAACACCTTTGCAGTCGCTGGTTCTGTGGGACACTCCAGGGAGCCCAGGAGCTTGTGCAGGTAATCAAAGTGTCCCAGATCAGGGTCTCAGTGACACGGTGTCCTATGCAAATGTGCTGTGAATCCCGCACTTCCCCAGGGCCTTTCAGGTTTTGCCAGGGTATGGAAGAGGCCTCAGAGAATGTGAGCCTCCCCTGACAATCCCAGCAGCAGGTGCTGCTGGTGTAGACCACCCTCACCACACCTGCTTATGCAGGACATTCTGTATTCAGCAGCTTTGCTTGATATGAACTCCATATCTCATGCCCTCTAGAAATCCAAAGCACTCCCCAGTGTCCTCACCAACACCCTGAAGATTATGTTCTCATGTTATCTCTGACTTCAGCTCCCGCCCCCATGGGTGCTGTCTCTGTTCCACTCATCCAGATGGTAAATGTCAGCCCTTTATATTTCTACAAAGGGACCTGCTCACACCAAGCATGTGGGGCATGGGAGGCGGTGCTGAAGATCTGGAGCACATGCGGGGATGTGAGGAGGACAGAAGAGGGGTCTTGGCAGCCGATGGCATAGCAGGCAGCCCCACCTTTAAAGTGCCCTGTAGTCGGGGGGTGGGGGCCACTGGTTTCCTCAGCAAATGCTGCGGCTTTCTCTCTGTCTCCTTTTCTCGCCGTCTGTCTACCTTCCTCTCGGGAGCAAGACTCCTGACTCATGCAAGAGAAGTTCAGCTCTATCTTTTGATCTTACCTTACTGGAAGGGGTTTCTCTGGCGGTCAGTCACGAGCATGATGTGAGGTGGCCTGGCCTGTTGGAGCATGAATTTTTTTTTTTTTATGACTCTTGCTATTTGTTTTTCTTAGGGTTTTGGGTGTTTTCTGGAAATTCTGCTTTCTGAGGCTCTAGGAATGGGAGTCAGGGCACCCTAATGTGGGAGCGATGGAGGAGGAGGAGCAACAGTGAGTGTGTGAGAAAGGGTTGGGAAAGGACAATGAAAGGTGATATAAACACAAGGAAAACAATCCAAAAAAAAAAAAGAAAAGAAAAGAAAAAAGAAAACAATCCAAACTGTAGAAAACTGAATATAGCATGCAAAGCAAGCCTCTCCCCTCCACCATCAGTCCCCACGTTTGCTTTCCTAAAATAACCACTGTTACCAGCTTCTTATTGATTTTTTGGAGATATTTTATGCATATATAAGCATAAATTACATACATTATGTATATGTATTCTCTTTTAAAAATAAATGGTAGCCTGTTATACATAAGGCTTTTCTTTAGACATTTATTTATTTAAGTAATCTCTACACCCCACGTGGGGGTCTAGCTCACGACCCTGAGATTAAGAGCTATATGCTCTTCTGACTGAGCCAGGTGGGCACCCCTTCTTTTGCCTTTTAAAAATTTAACAATATATCTTTACTATTTTTAATGGAGCTACCTATAAATATATACACGTAACCACTCACACAAACATATGTATTTTTTCTTGTATTCGTATAAAGGGCAAACCTAAGTGACCCTCTTCATTGGCCAGTGGGAAGCCTTCTAGGGCATTGGGGTTTCTGTATGAGGAGGCATTCTGGCTGCTGGACATTCCGATGTCAGATTCAGTACTGGAGGTGATGACAAATACCAAGCATTGTTTCTGAGGGCTCGTGGCTGTGGTCAATTATAATTTTGTTTCCAGGTATTTCCTGTCCACTCCATAGAGCTTCTGTACTCCTGAATATGACCTTCAGTGAGTGCATCCCCGTGGGAGGAGTGAACATGTCCCCTCACTGGCATCAGGCTTGGCCACATTACCTCCCTGGGCTGATGGAAGTGAGCCGAGGTGACACCTGCCATGGAGTCAGAGCTTTCAGAGCCAGCATGGGCTCCTGCTGTGTCTTTGTCCTTGGACATGAGAATGGAGACAGAGATTGTTCTGTCAGCCTGGGTCCCAGAACCAGGGGACATTTGGTCAAAAGCCACAGCTGATCCACATCTTATGAGTAATATGGGTGAGAAATAAACCTTGCTTGTCATGAGCTCCTAAAACTCTGGATCTTTTGTTACTGCAGCCTCACCTTGTGAAAACTGGCTTATGCTGAGCAAATTGCAAGGGCTGTGATCAGTCACAGAGTCCTAGATGGGTCTGGGGAACTGCTTTATCTGCCTACAGTGGCCTCTAGGTTAGATCTGGATTTACCACCAACTGATAAAGAAGCCCTGGTTATTATAGGAATCAAGGTATGCCATGGACACTACGAAATCCCATACTTTGCTAGTGGCAGGACCAGTTGCTTGGAATGTTTGAAAAGCCATTTGGTAACGTATAATGAGAGTCCTAAAATAATTTTTACTTCTAGAAATCTAGGTCAAGAAAATAACCGGGGATATGCAGGGAGGTTCATAACAGAGTTATTTGACAAATTGGAAACAACCTAAATGCCCCATCACAAGGTCATAGTTTATATTTTATGCTATATGATGGATACTATGCAGCCATAAGAATCAAGTAGCTGGATGTTTAATGAACGGGGGAGATGTTTGCATTTTAATACTGAGTGGATAAATGGGATACAGAACTGTAGCCATATGACAATCCTAATTTATATAACAAATACAGGATCATGCTCTCTATAACTTTGTATATTTTTTCACTTACATCATGTGAATAAGCACTTCTGCCAAGTGTCAAACATGTAAGTATGAATAGACAAAGACTGTGAGGAAAGAAGCAAAACTAGTGGTTATCTCTGGCTCGCGTTCTCTTTTCTGTGCTTTCCGTATTTTCCAGATGTTCTATGATGAGTATGTACTACTTTTATAATCAGAAGTAACTGCTATTTAAAATAAGAATTATTAAAAAAAATAAAATAAAATAAGAATTATTCCAGTCGCCTCTAGGGCTGTGCCTTTGCGTGGTGGCTGTCCAGGGGCCCTAACTGGGGCTCCTTGTCTAAGAATAAGGCCAGGTGTTTAATTAGGTCAGTCTCTTGCTGCCCTAGAATCCTTGCACCGAGCTCAGCTTGCGCCGCCCAGAACCCCTGAGACGGATCTCAGGCTGGAGCGCTGAGCCTCCTGGGCCGCTGCTGTGGCTGCTTAGTCTGGATTTGAGAAATCTGTGAAGTGTCACCCTGCCCTTCCAGAGCAGCCACCCTCCCGTCCCTCTAACACGTTTCCTTCAAAAAAGTAATTTAGGGACCCCTGGGTTGCTCAGTGGTTGAGCGTCTGCCTTTGGCTCAGGTTCCGATCCCGGGGTCCTGGGATCCAGTCCCGCATGGGTTCCAGCAGGAGCTGCTTCCTCTGCTGTGTCTCTGCCTCTCTGTGTGTGTCTCTCATGAATAAATAAATAAAATCCTAAAAGAAAAAAAAAAGTAACAGACCTCCCAATTTTATGGAAGAGAAAAGTAAGACTCATGAAGTCAACATTCTGACCATTTTGGGTTGATAGTAATCTGGGATGACAATAGCTGCTATGCCAGGCACCTCTTCTATCTTGCTCCCTGGGGCCTCCTCCGTAAACCGTGTCATACCCTGGGGGCCCTGGAGTGGCTGGCAGGTGGGCCCATGTGGGAGGGAGTATTCTCAGAAATCTCATTTGCAAGAGAGCCCATCTCCTGGTTTGGGAACCCCATCCAAGGGAAAAAGGAGTCTGCGACCAGCCTGATTGTAAAGGCGCTGGCAAGGGCCACTCCCCTCTATGGATTCCCTAACCTCTTTATCCAGGTTTGCAGGCGTGGGGGGAGGATGTGAGTGAGTGGTGGTGGGCGCTGGGTCCACAGTCGTGGGCAGGGCGGGCCCAGGGGGAGCTGCGGTGCACTGGGGACTGGGAGGGGACAGCGGGACTGCCAGCCTCAGCGGAGCGGAGCCGGAGTTGCCCAGGGCAGCGCTGTCCGCCTCCAAGAAGAGCTTTCGGAGCTGTCCTTACAATCATCTACCTCAACTGCTGAATGATTTCTCTGTCAGTGGAGCACAGACCTCCCTCGCCTCCCAGACCCCATCAGGCTCCCTTGGACCTGCTTCAGCTCCACCCGGCAAGGCAGCACTTGGCCTTGTCTTCTCCCAGACTGCTCCACATCTGAAACCTTAAATTCCATCATCCTGAATTTTTTTTTTATTGAGGAATAAGGTACATACAATAAAGTACATGAATTCTTATGCATCGTATGTCTGTACAATCTGCCCATGGTGTTGTGGATAGTGTAGTTTATTCTTCACTGCTAATTCCGTTGGATGGACGTATCTCCATTTATTTATCCATTCTTTGGTGGACACACATTATCTCCATAAGCTGCTTTCTTTTTTTTTAATTTTTATTTATTTATGACAGTCACACAGACGAGAGAGAGAGAGAGAGAGAGGCAGAGACACAGGCAGAGGGAGAAGCAGGCTCCATGCACCGGGAGCCTGACGTGGGATTCGATCCCGGGTCTCCAGGATCGTGCCCTGGGCCAAAGACAGGCGCTTAACCACTGCGCCACCCAGGGATCCCCATAAGCTGCTTTCTTTTCTCACCCTCTTTGTTGCTTATTGACACCCCAATCTGGCAGCTGCACCACATTTTTTGGTTTATCAGTCTGGTTACTGTGCCCAGTCTCATTTCTTTTGTGGTCAGCACCCCTGCAAGGGGAGCCTCTCCCATGCTACTCCTGCTTCCCTACCCTCTGCCCCACTCAGCTGTCGTCATCTTGACTCTGACGCCCCATTTGTCCAGGTCTCCTCTGACCTACCTTTGTCATTTGTAGGTGACATTTGGGGGTTCTCTGACTTGGCCTTTCTGTGGCCCTGTCCCTGCTTATGGCTCTTTCCCCACAAGGTTTTGGGAACAGCCTTTTCTACTTCTCTCCTGCAAATCTGGCTGCTCCCTTTCAGCCTCCTTTGCTGTCTCCTCTCCTGTGTCCATCTCCACGTGGTTGTTCCTGGGGCTCTGTCCTCAGCTCTCATCTCTACTGGAGGGCCCTCTTGGGTCATTAGCTACCATATATACCAATGCAACTTCCTTCCTCCTCAATCCCTAGATCCCCAAACTGAAAGGATTTTCCAAACTCATTTGGTGGCAAGCCTTGAACAGGCCCTGACATGAACTTGTTTATTGGAGTTATATACCCACTTCGTGTGAATGAATATTCATACGTTGGCTGCAGGAATGTCAATTTGTTTGGTTATGGGCTCTTGTCCCAGACCCATCAAGGGTGTGATTGTGCATATATACAGTAAATCATGTATTACATTCTTAAACTCAGAAAATATTGAAACATATCTGGCCCCTTGGACTTCAGGTAAGGGTTTGCAGACCCGGAGCCGTCTCCCCACCTCATGCCCTGCCAACAAACCCTTTTATTTCCTGCTGTCATCTCTGAGTTGGTGGCCCCTATACCTGTGGCTCTTCAGTGTCTTAGCTTTTTCCTTCCTTAGAATCACCTCCAGTTCATCATTCCCCAGGTCCTGACTACCCCAGTGACTCTCTGCTTACCCCTCCTCTCTCTGTTCCCTTTAATTCAGGCACACCACACCACTGCCAGGGCTACTGCAGTGACCTCTCAGTAGCTGTCCCTTTTCCTAGCTGGCTAGTCCTTGGCACTGACGCCAGAGGCAGCTTTAAAAAGTTTTAAAAAAATTTATTCATTTGAGAGATTGAGAGAGAGACAGAGAGAGTACAAGCAGGGGGAGAGGCAGAGGCAGAGAGAGAAGCAGACTCTTCATTGAGGAGAGAGCCACATGCCAAAGCCTTGGGGCTGATCCTAGGACCACAGGGCTCCCAGGATGCAGAGATCATGACCTGAACCTAAGGCAGATGCTTAACCATCTGAGCCACCGAGGCACCCCCAGAGGCAGCTCCTTTAGGGTCAAAGTCAAGTTTGTTCGTTCTTTTCTTTCTTTTGATTTTTAAAATTTATTTAAGAGACAGCGAGAAAGAAATAGTGAGAGAGCACAAGCAGAGGGGAGAGGGAGTAGCAGGCTCCCCCCACTGAACAGGGAACCCAATGCGGGACTTGATCCCAGGACCCTGATTTTTTTTTTAAAGATTTTATTATTCATTCATGAAAGACACACACAGAGAGAGGCAGACACAGGCAGAGGGAGAAGCAGGCTCCGTGCAGATCCAGGTCTCCAGGATCAAGCCCTGGGCTGAAGGCGGCGCTAAACCGCTGAGCCACCCAGGCTGCCCAATCCCAGGACCCTGAGACCATGATCTGAGTGGAAGGCAGATGCTTAATCAACTGAGCCCCCTAAGCTCTGTGAGGTCAAGTTCTTTAGTAGAACATAGGACTTTTCCTGATCTGGTTTTGCTTCCCTACCTTACCTCTTTGGGTCTCCCAGAAAGAGTTGTGGGCTCGTTGCAGCCCTTCTTACTTTCATACTTGTAGTTGTCCTGCTGGGAGTTCTTCACGTGGTCTGTCCAGGGAGCTCCTGTTCTTTGTAAAATCTGGCTGGCATCACTTTCTTCTGGGACTGCCCTCACCCCTAACAGAGGAGTTCCCCGGTCGCTCTGGCTGGCTGCCTCTGGACCTCATGGGCAGCATCCTGTGCTCAGGACATGGGTGCTAGATATTGGTATGATCAGGGGGCCCATTCTTCAGGGGATATAAAAAGTCTTATTTAAAACAAAAATATCAATTATATAGCATTTTGTATTCTGCTATTTTCATTTGGCATAAGTATTTCTCGAGTGTAGCACTTTTTTTTTTCATTTTCAAGCCATGTATCAGAATATTGAGATACTAAAGACAGGAAATTAAATATAACCTTACATTTTGACCACCCCTGGGTGACTCATACGCACATTAAGCTGTTGTTTATTTTGAGTTATTGTCTCCAGTCCTTTTGTGTCTGCATTTTGTAAATGGTTGGCACTCCAGTGCAAAAGCAATTTTGTGTTCTGCTTTTTTTCTTGCGTGGCATTCTGTCTTTAGCAGTTTTTGAGTTCAGCTTCTTAACCACAATTAGTAAAGTTTGTTCAACTGTTTAAAGATACAGATGTGCTCTTTCGTTGGACACTGAGGTGGTCTATTCTTTTTCATGAATCATCTTACATTTAGCTTTTTTTCTTTCCTAGGTGGTTTTGTAAAGGTTGGATTCTCAGAACTGGAGGATTCAAACGAAATGGGAATTCTTGGGACTGGATCTGCCTGAAGCCTGGTTTCCCTGGGGAGGGGATAGTGACTGCTGACAACAAACAGTGTATGTGGAGGGCGTGGTCATTCTCGGAATGTGGCCCGTAGGACAGGCCCAGGTCCCATGCTCTCTCCACGTCCTGCCTGATTCAACAGGAGATAGTGGCCAGGCTTGCAGAGGGTTTCAAGCTCAACAAAAACATCTGGCTGCTGACCCCTCCCCTTCTGCCCTTCACTCCTTTATACCTTGAGCAGAGCTCCTGGCCCAGTGCAACTGTAAGGATTTCTAGTCTTGTTTTTTTTTTTTCTTTTTAAAGATGTATTTATTAGAGAGAGAGAGCGAGAGAGAGAGAGAAAGCAGACTCCTTGCTGAGCACAGAACCAGCCTCAGGGCCCGATTCCCCGACTCTGAGACCATGACCTGAGTTGAAATCAAGAGTCAGTTGCTCAACCATCTGAGCTACCTAGGTGCCTGCCTTCTTACCCCTGCCCTCCATCTGTCTACTGGGCCAAGTGGAAGAGGGACTAAGGACCACCCCTCCCCCGCCACCCTGCCAACTGGGATGGGGCTGTGGCTGAGACTCAGGGCAGACTACATGGAAATCAGCAGGGATGTTTGCCCCAGAACCTTCCCCAGAGAGTGGGTGGTGGTATTGTTTGTGGTGGCATCAGGTCTTTAAGAGGAGGGTTAGTGAAGGAAAAAGCAAAGCCTCAGAGAATGAAGAGGAAGCAAGCCCTCAACTTGGCTCAGCCTCCATTTCCTCCTCTATAAAGAGAAGAAGATGGTAATAATAGTAATAATATCCACAGTACAGGGGTGAGGTGAGAATCAAATGAGAAAATGAACTGAAGACATAGTTCTCAAAAAATGCTAGGTGTTTCCATGAAGGATGAGATTCCCAAGGACCAAGGATAGGGCAGCTTCAGCCTCCATGTGCACCCACTGTATCTGGTGTTGGCTTGATTTGTTAAATGTCTTTTTAAAGTGAAGTCCTGAACTGTTGTACATTATACTCACCTAAGGAGTAAAAAATGCCCAATACTTAGGTCCCACTCTGGACCAGTTACATGCGAATCTCAGAGAGGGAGAAGGTCTGCCCACCTGCCAGGCTGTCACTCAGTACTCAGCACTCAGTCCTCCTGGGCTCGAATGCCCCCCCACCTGCACTTGCCTGGCTGATGCTCACTCATCAACAGGTGATCTAGCTCCCCAGGTGATTTGCACATGCAGCTAACGCTACATCCTTGTCACCCAAATGTGGTGAATGTGGCTGGCATCATGCCAGTGATGCTTTGGGCACTTGTTAGAGATGTAAACTCTCAGGCCCCACCTCAAACATGCTAAATCAGTAGCTGCACTTAACCAGACCCCAGGTAATTCCTATGCACCTCACAGTATGAGAAGTGCTGACTGGTACACTGTCCTAAGCACATTTGTGGGGACCAGAGCACAGAGCCTGGCCTCTGGGTGCAGTCCTTGCTCTGCTGTGTATTAGTTTTGTACGTCTGGGCAAGATGCTAAACTCCTCGGTGCCTCTGTTCAGTCGTTTGTAAATTTGGAATAGCACGAGGCCTGTCTCATAGGGTTGGTCTGAGGCCTGCCTCGTGGTAAGCGCAATGCAAGGATTCTTTTACTGTTACTATGACAAATCTTTTCCTGAAGGGCTCTGAAATGAAGCAAGCCTCACATGTGTGACAGTGGCACAGGGGTCAAGGTCAAGAGGGCCCTGTGACAGCCAAAGGTCCTTCTCTAGCTGGACCTGTAGGTAGTTAAGGAGCTCTCCACGTCCTGGGATGGGAGCAGAGACTGGCCACCTCAGCAGACACAAACACGAGGAGAAGCTGGCTCCTAGCTGTGCCAGCGCAGGTCACAACAGGCCCCACAGAGAAGTGATGGGCAGTAGTTGCCAGCTACAAGCATGACCAGGCATAAGTCTCACATCGTTCAGTCCCCTCCAGGAGGTGTGGGCCATTTGGAGAAGTGGCCCAAGAAAGAGCTGAAGTGACAGAGTGTACGAACGTCATTGGCTGACCTCCCTGTCCTCAGGTGAAAGGGAAGCTTTCATGAACATGGAACCCCATGTTTGCCTATAGGAAAAGCAAGTGTTGTGTGTTGACTCCCAGTGGAAGGGCTAGGAACTTCCCAGTGATTTCCTATAACCAGGACCCCCCTGCGCTCCTTTGTTTCTGACTAGATGGGAACCATGCAAAGTCAGGAAGGGTACTTTTTATTTTTTTTAAAGATTTTATTTATTTATTGAGAGAGAGAGAGAGAGAGAGAGAGAGCATGAGGGGGGAGAGGCAGAGGGAGAGGGAATGAGAATCTCCAGCAGACTCCACGCCCAGTGTGGAGCTTGACTCAGGGCCTGACATGGGGCCCGATCTCATGACCCTGAGACTGAGACCTGAGCCAAAATCAAGAGTTGGATGCCCAACCAACTGAGCCACCCAGGTGCTCTGGAAAGAGTGATTTTTAAAAGGTTGACTCAACATGAGCAGAAATCACAGGATAATGGGTGAAACGGACTCTGGAAATCCTGCTTTCTGAAGCTTGATATTCCTCTGACACTCTCAATAAAGCCTGCCATTTATGGTCCATCTGTCTGTCCATTCATCTACTCATCTAATTGTCCATCCATCCATCCATCCATCCACCCCCTCACCCACTTATTTATATAAACATCCATCCATCCATCTATCCAACTGTCCATCTGTCTGTCCAACCATCCATCCATCCATCCATCCATCCATCCATCCATCCATCCATCCAGTGAGGGACTATAGCTCCTGAATCTCCAGATTCTTACTTCATCATTCTATTTTTTTAAAAGATTTTATTTATTTATTCATGAAACACACACACACACACACACACACACAGGCAGAGGGAGAAGCAGGCTCCATGCTGGGAGCCTGATGTGGGACAGGATCCTGGGTCTCCAGGATCACACCCTGGGCTGAAGGTGGCGCTAACCGCTGAGTCACCGGGGCTGGCCTTGTCTTCTTTTTAAAAAGAGGACATGCTACATCCATATGTCTTTTCAGATGATCCAGGTCGAAGCTGTAAATGGCAGTCATAGTGATTTGTTGTAAAATCAGCACCGAGGGCCCTCAGGACTCTTTGCAGCTCTACACTCAATGTCTCAATTGCTCTGCTCTTGATATTCACTTGATATCACTTTTTTTCTGATTCTGAGATTCTGCTCATCGGCCACTTCGATTCCCACAGCTTATAAATCTCCAGCCTATGAGGCACTGGCCTTTGAGTTATTGCTGGAGTGCCCAGTGTGCATGGGGTACCCACGTGAGATCCTGCATTACACCTGCGAACACCTCCTCCCGACTAGGTGTATGAGCTTGCTGGGGAGGGAGGCAGTGGCCAGATGCCAACCTTGGCACCCCCATCCAAGGCCTCTGCACTCTCTCCCTGGGGGGCTGGTGTTTGATGTGCTTGATAGGAACCTGCTGAAGGTGGGCACCCATGGCCTCACCTGCCTTTCAGAGTAAGGGACAAGGGGTGGCGGGCAAAGATGCTGGAGGAAAGAAGGAGGTGGGAGGAGAGACTGGGGCTCACAGCAGAGGCGTAACAATGCCCGCTGGATAAAAGAGGGAGAGCAGGGGTGGGTGGAGGTGGGAGGGAATGGCAGGGCTTGAATGGGCCACTAAGGAGGGGCCATTGAGTGCACCCAGCCCACTCCCCCCCCCAGGGCAGAGATCTGGAGCTTCCACCCCAGCAAGTTCATTCAGAGGGATGGCCTGTAGAGGTTCCACATCCTCAACAGGCTCTTCAACCTGCCTGGTGAGGGCAGGATAGGGGTGTCCTCGGGGCACCCAGCTCTGGCTTGGGTGGGGTGCTGCCTGGATCCCTGGGCCAGGGAATGACTGGCCTCTCCACCCCAGAAACCTACCTGTAGGTCTGCATGGTGGACTTCTCTGGCTGCTCCTGCTATACCCAGGGTGTCCTGTGCCCTGTCCAGCCCTGGGTGACCGACTGGACACTGCCACTGCCCAGGGCCCAGGCTCTGAACTGGGGTCCCTGTCAAGGAGCAAAGGCCCCTGCTGAGGGGCTCTAAAAGCTCAGTGGGAAGGCTTTCACTGCAGGCTCCACCCCCATGCCCCCAAAGGATGACCCTCAGCACAGGTGACACTCCTTCCAGCATAGCTGGGACATAAACCCAGTGTGGTTCGAGGGCTGACTCTCGTATAGGGTCCAGGTTTGGTGGTCACCTCAGCCGCCTCATCAGCCTCCCCTGTCCTCTCGGCCTGCCCCAGCTGTGACACTAGCTATCGGCATGGGAACCTCTTCACTCCTCCCAAAGCCTCTTCCTTCCAGGACCAGAGTGATGCCTCTCTCCTGTCTGGCTCTCCCCTTGAGGAAGAACCAAGTGTGGGAGGGGGCGTCTCCCACACATGGGCCTCCCTGGAAGTGGTCAGAGAGAGCAGGGGGTGGGAGGCCAGTGACCTCAGCCAGGCTAAGGGAAGACCTTTTGGGGGGTAGGGGGGAGGCCACGAAAAGGCAGTCAGACCTTGGAGGAGATGCAAGGGGGTGAGATCAGGCTGTGGCAGACCCAAGAGAGGGGAGTGTGTGACACACCCTGTGGCACCGTGTGTGACCAGGAGTCACTGGCAGGCTAACGGGTGAGCGGGGCTCTAAGTCACCAGTGGCACTCCTATCCTGTGTCCCGGGGTCGCTGACCGGGCATGAGCGCTGCGAGGGGCTCTGGAGGCTGACAGGAGAGCCCGCACAGTATCCTCCACCTGCTCCCACGAACTCCTTTTGAGCACTTCCTCATGCCGGCGAGGTCATGGTCAGGGAGGCTGGGGAGCCAGATCCAGGGGTGCTGCAGGGCACGTGGATGGGCTATGACCTCGGGGCTGGCAAGCTTCCCCCAGCGCAGAGCGCGGCTGAACCTGGGCCGGTGCCCCTGCCAAGCAAGGGAGGGCAGGAGCCGTGGGCTGTGTCACGGTCGGGCCTCAGCCGGGCCCTGGACGTCCTCCTGGGACCAGACTGTGGTAGACACACTGAGTGAGCCTCTCTGCCGAGGGAACGGGGCCCAGACAGAGCAACAGGGTAGTGGCCCTAGTGGGGGGCTGAGGGCCCTGTGGCCTCGTTGTGGGGAGGGAGGCTGCCCCTCAGGCTTGACCTGCCCTTGGCAGCTGCCTCCCTGCTGCTCTGTCCCTGGAGCCCGGGAACCAGGGTTCCCCTTCGGGGCTCGCTGTCACGTCGTTCCTCCCACACCCCATGGTTATCCCTGCCGCTCCCTGTTGCTTGCTGCCGCCGGCTCTCTCTGACCTGGGTGCCCCCTGCCCCAGCAGGACTTGGGCCCCTGCCCAGGGCACCACCGGCACCGTGCGGTTGACTCTGGACACACCAGCTCCCTCCTGGCCCCCCTGCCTCCGCAGGCACCCTACCTTGACTGGGAGCCCGTGTCCCCAACCTGTCCACGGGGAGAGGGGCCATGAGCAAGCCTGTGTCCCCTTGGCAGGGCAGGCTCCTCGGACGAGGTGTGCGAGCTGCTCGGGGTGCACGGGAAGGATATTCTGTACATCGGGGACCACATCTTTAAGGATGGCCTCAAGTCTAAGAAGCAGCAGGGCTGTGGACTTACACGGGGGTTCCTGAGCTGTCCCGGGAGCTGGGCATCTGGGTCCAAGGGAAGGGTGAGCTGTGGAGGGGTCAGGGCCAGGTAGGGGGGCGCTGGCCACTAGTGCAGAGGCCTGCCCCTTCATCATCTTGCTCTCTTTCCTTTTGGGGGTTGGTAGTGACTATAATAATATGGTCCACTCTGTGGTCTACTTTGTAAACGAGGAAACAGATCCAGAGAGGTTAAGCTGCTTGCCCAAAGTCACACAGCCAGAAAGGGCAAAGCCGACTCAACTTCTATCTCCTCACTCCTGAGTACTGTGGTGTTTCTGTAGTCTGAGGCTTCCTTCCTCACCTGACTGTGCCCTCCCCACTCATCTGAGGACTCTTAGAGAGTGGAAGGTACACTCCCCGACCTGGGAATGACTTAAAGTATCCTCAGGGGCGGGAGTGACTATGAGCCTTAACAATTCTGGTTTGTTCTAAGAAATGGGGTTGAGTCATTGGCATGTGATTTCGGGTGGGTCACCTGGCTCCCTGACCGGCTTCCTTACCTGTCCCACAGGACCTTTGCTGTCTCTGCTTTGCTCTGGGTGGAGCTTCACTTGATGTAAGGGGGGGTGAAGGATGTTATGCACACAGCTTGGGGTGGTGGTGGGGGGAGAGGTGTGTAGATCCCTGGTGACCTCTCTACCCTCACCACATGGTGGACCTGGGCCTGGAGCAGACAAAGGTAGGCAGGACTGTCACTCCCCCCAACCCCCTGTTGTCCCCGGTCAACTTCTCAGAGTGGAGGGAGGAGCTGAAGAGGTTGGACATGCACCTGGTAAAGCTGTACCTCGAGAGCCCTGACGGGCCCAGGGTAGGGTCGATCCCGGCCTGCAGAGGGGCAATGGAGGGTCCTGGTCAGGGTAGTCAGGAAATCTAGTTCTGTTTCAGGCTGGGCTTCCCTAGTAAACTGGATTTTGGGATCCCTGTGGCCCCCTTGGGCCACACTGTGTGTGACCTCTAGGCCCTTCCTCCTTACCCACTCATCATGGACTCAGGCTGCCTATCTTCTCACCCACGTGTATGCGCACCCAGCTCAGGGGCCTCACTGGGTGCCCGTGGATGCCCTCTGACCCCCCTGTGGTCTAGGGAGGTTGTGTCTGGAGCTTGGAGGCCAGGTTCCTCTTCTCCTGGGTCATGTGGCCATTTTTGCACTAGGCACACGGATGGGAGCAGCTATAGGTTGCAAGTCATCAGCTCCATCAAGAGGGAGATGCAGGTAAGAGTGAGTGCTGAGTGAGGAGGAGACCCGGCGGGGCTGGGGAGTGGGTGTGTGCCCCCATCCGCCGGGTCCCAGGTCCCGCAGCCTCCGCCGAGCGCCACCTGTCCTTGTCTGCCGGCGCCCTCTGCCGGCCTACGTTCCAAATGACAGCAGAGGTCCTCCGCGGAAGGGCTGAGTTTAGCCCGGGGTTGCGCGGAAAGGGGGGGGGGGCGAAGGGGGTGGGGGGGGCGGCGCATCTCGCAATCTCCGTGAACCCTCCTCGAGACGCGGCAGCCTGCCCGCTTGGGGCCTCCTGTGACCGACTGGCCAGCTGTGATCCGCGTCTGGGGGCAGCTGGAGGCGCCGCCCCGGAGGGTGGGGTTTAGGGCCAGGGAGCTGATGGGTCCTGGGAAAAGGAGGAGGGGAGACGCCCTGTGGCGCTCCTGAGCAGCCACCGAAGCTGGGGGAGTCCCACAGGCCGGGTGGACGGGATTGAGGCCATTTGGCTTACCCAAAGCCCGCTGGGCCCAATAATGAAAGATCTCTGCGGAGCCTTTGGCGGGGTATAGGGCCCCTTGCACGCTACTGGATCCTTCCATAGCCCTGAGAAGTGGGCTGGGCAGGGGCAGTTCTCTTTATTTTACAGATGAGGAAACGGAGGCTCAGAGAGGGGTGATAGCATGCTTTTGATCAGTCTGGGAGGAAATGTCCAGGCCAGTTCTCTAGATGCTAAAAACAAGGTCTAGTGATGAGGTGGGGGCCTGCAAGGGGGCAGTCATGGGGTCCAGTGCGCGGGCCTCTGCAGAGCCCTCTGTCGGGGCATCAGAAACTACCTTAAGCTGAGCGTTTAGTCTGGGTGGTCATTCTCCAGGTCCAGGCAGGTAACCATGAGGAAAGCAGGGAGGGGGGCCCTGCGCAAAGTGGAGAGCTGCCCACCTCCCAAAGCACCATGCGCCCTGGGTTTAGAGAACTTAGCTCCTTCCCTACGGGGAAAGAGGCTCCAATGTCCTGGGGCGACAGACTCAGGGAGGGTAGAGGGAGCCCAGCCCCAGCAGGGTAGGGTCGGCTCTGGGTGATGCAGGTCCAGGTGGGTGGGATCGCTCCTCTCCCAGCGCGTCACGGAGGAGCGGGCCCTGTGCTACAGCACGAAGGGCAGCCTGTCCCGCTGCAGCTTCCGCCAGACGCTCTTCTCCAAGCAGCTGCCGCGCTGTGCAGACCTCCAGGCTGCCACCTGCCTCAACTTCTGCGCTAGCCGCTCAGCTCGCTTTTTCAGGCAGGCCCAGAGCTGGTGGGTCCTAGACCATCCTTGGCATCCCCGATCCTCTGCCCCAGCTGGTCCCCAGCCCCGCCAAGAGCTTTCAAGGTCACTATAGACCCAATCTCCCACCTCCAGACACAAGTGGGTCAAAGCCTGGCAGGGAACTGTGGTGACATAAAAAATGCAGGGGAGGAGTTACAGTTATGGAGATAGGATGGCTCTGCTGGGGAGATTTTCTTCCTGCCCAGCCTTCACACCTGCTTTAAACTGAGACCACATTACCTCGGTATTTCCTTAGTAGAAAGGGTGCCAGCTGCTAGGTGGAAGGCTGCAGTCCCTCGACCCTCAATTAACAGTGACTTCAGAAGAAATGGAAGAAGCAGCAGATGATACAGTAAACACCTCTGCTGGTTTTCCTCTGGAACACCTGCACACACTCCTGAGTCAAGAGCAGGGAGTGGGGGTGGCGATGATGCCACTGGGTTAGCGGAGCCGAGAGAGCCACCAGTGCAGCACTTCCCTGAGCACTCGTGCCAGTTCTCCCAACGAAATGTCAGTATTTTCATCATAGGACATGTGGTCTTGTGTCAAAGATCTGGACTTGCAAGTATTCTCTGGGGCTTCTTGTTTCCTGCTGTGCTTGCCACTCTGAGCTGCCTTCCAGATGTTCAAGAGGGGAAAATCATTTTCTGACTGTCTCCTGGGTTTCCTGCATTGGGCTTGGGGGCCTTTGCCTTTTTTTTTTTTTAAGTAATTTTGCTTAATGCTCAGTATAACCCACCAGTAGTTTTTTAAAATCCTCATTGTACCATTGGTGAAATGGAAGTGCAGAGATCCTAAGTAACTTGCTGTGTCACGCTGCTGGGAGACTGCAGAGCCAGGATTTAAACCCAGTGCTTTTGAAGAACTGAGGACATGCTCTGTCCCCTGCACTGCACTGCTGCACGCTGGCAGAGGGGAGTGAGCCCTCTGGGTGAAGCCTCATCTCATCTCCAGGTTTTTAGATGAGCGGGGCTGGAGCATTCCTGGGGATCCGAAGCCTAGTTATAGGTGTTATTGGACATCATTATGAAAGTAGTGACCAGACAGGTGAAGAAAAAGCAACCTGAGTGCCAGAGTGAAGCATGTAAAGAAATCTGACCTTTACTTAGCCATGCTGGCCTGGGATTTTTGAGAAAGTGATGTCCGTCTGCCAGAACCTGCCTTCTCCAGCTGACCCTCCTGAGCTTCCTCTTGCACAGCATCATTGGACAGGAAGCTGGCAGCTGTGGGCAGAGTGGAATGGGTGGTTGTCTATGCATAACTGAGGGCTTCCAGAAAGCCTTGCCACTGAGGGAGCTGCTCCATCTCCACCTGCATTTGTCTCTACAGATGCCCCATGGGTCAGCTGTGGAGCAAGAACGAGCTAACCTGGATCCCCTCGCCTACCTCTTCTACAGCCAGAGAACGAGTTGCTAGGAGGTGGCAGGTTGCTCATGTCCACAGTGGAGCTGGGAGGAGCCCCTTGGCTGTGTGTGTGGGAGCTCAGCTACCTGGGACTACCATGGGCTAGGCTAGGGGTTCCCAGTGGAATGGTATTAAACTGAGGAGGCATTTTGGAGATTTGTGGGATCTTTGTTGTCTTCAGTGTAATCATTCCTGAGTACTTATGTAGAAATAGATATTATTTTGTCATAAATTGCTTTTCTTTTTATTTCTCCTGTTATAGTATTACATTGATTTTTAAAGTTATAGAGACAATAATTATATTATCTATGAACCTCAATTCAGGAGAGGAAAGAAGAAATGAAAATGTTTGTTTTTAAAATGGTGCATTGGGTCCCCTAGGGCCGGGAAGCACTGGCTTGAAGCCCAGATTCACAGGTCTTGTTCAGGAGAGGTTAGCTGGTGCCTCCCATCTCTCCAGACCACTTTTGGCTGATTCATCTGACAAATCTATTCCCAACTCTGGAAAAGAACACATGCTCTTCTGAGCCAGGATTCCTCTCCAGACAGCCTTTATAAACACAATGAGAAGGGCCTCTTCTTCAGCTCCTTTGTCACTTTGTGCTCCTGGTCCCCCTGTGAGTGGCTTGGCTCCTAGCCTGGTTTTGCATCCCTGAGCCTGGCATGAGGCTTCCTGGGGTTTGAGTTTTAACATTGCCATTTCATGGGCTTCCTGTGGCTGGGCGGTTCTAGGCTCAGTGTGAATTTTTTCAATCAGTGTTTACCAAGTGCCTCCTGCTTGCCTAGTAATTTAGAAAGCGAATCATAAGCTACTTTACTCACGCCTAGGAGGAGCTCACGATTTAAGTACATTAGCAGTCTTTTATCAGTGGTCTGCAACTATTTTTCCATCTTGACCCACCAGAGGGCTGGACACAATCCCATCAGAACTGCGAGATCTCTGGGGGATATGTGTGTGGTTTGATTTCTCTACCCCTCATCTCCATCCTAAACCAGACTAGGGCATTTTGACACATTCTCTACCCTGGATTGGGAGCCATTGTGTGAGCTCAGGAGGGCAGATCCCATGACGAGCTTTCTTTGTTTCTTAGAAGGCTGAGGGCAAAGAGAGATGAGGACCAAGAGGGCTGTGTTGAGGCTGAGTGAATCCTGGACATGGGCTGGCATAATAGTAGTCTTCTACTTGAGATATTTTTCAGATCAATGGAAAAGTATGGAAGAGAGAAAAAGAGGTCATATTGAAATCTAAATGTAACAGATTGGAGCCCCAAAATTTGTCTTTTAGGGAGAAAGGAGTCCTCATCCTAGAAGACATCCCCTGTGGCCTTTGAACCATTTGAAAATGGGCATAACAAGTAGAATTATTTTACCTAAGTCCCCTGAGTAAAATAATTCATCATTCACATCCAGTTTTATTTGTACACATTTCTTATTAAAAATAGCATTTTTGGGTACTTTGATTCTGTTACTAGTATTAACAATAATACTCAATTGGCCTTACATGACTTCATTAACTGTTCTTTCTCTCCAGGTCACTGTGAAAGACAGGAAATGAGACAGCCCAACCATCTTTGAGCTTGATGTATACATGGCATTAGAACATATACAAAGGGCAGCCCAGGTGGCTCAGCGGTTTAGCGCAGCCTGCAGCCCGGGGTGTGATCCTGGGAACCTGGGATCGAGTCCCACATCGGGCTCCCTGCATGGAGCCTGCTTCTCCCTCTGCCTGTGTCTCTGCCCCCGCCCCCCTTCTCTGTGTCTCTCATGAATGAATAAATAAAATCTTAAAAAAAAAAGGAACATATACAAAGTCAAACTTATGACATAAAGACTCATTTTATTTTGGCAGGAGCTGCTCTGCGGTGCTAAGCCTGGGCCCTTCATTGTTCTGATGTCACTGAATTCACTTCTGCGGCTCCTGTTTTGTCTGTTAGTAGCATCATCTGGCATCATCTAGAGGCTTAGGATGAATATACCTACATAACTGAAATGACAAACTCTTGAAGGAACAGGTCTGTGAAACAGTTCCCTAGTTTTACTTTCTATGGATAAACAAGGGAAACATTTGGAATATCTGAGGATAAATAAAGGTTTATTTCCGAATAAGTTTCAGAAGCTTCTAGGTCTGGCACTAAGGCCTTTTGTTCTTCTTCCTGGATTGAACCTTGGGCCTGAGTCTGTAAGGTGGATTCTCCAGGCAGAGACCAGGTATCCCTGGCCTTATGTTTTCAAACACTATATTCTTATTCAAGGGCCAGAGGGTAGAATTTTATCAGAAAAATTGCCCAGAACCTAGGGCCCATGCTTTTCTGGAAAGATGCTGAAATATGGTGCAGTAGCTAATACTACCCATCAATGCTTAGAATTCCCTCCTAGGGTAGTAAGAATGCAGAGAGGGCTGGAGGATGAATAGTCACCAGAAGAACTCTTTGGATCTGAGGAAGAATTGGGGGGGGGGGGGAGATGTGGCCAAAGGGCCTTTTGCTTGCTTTTCCTTCTGCCTGAAGCATCCTCTACCTCTTCTGTTAAACTTGTCTTTCCTCAGACTTAACAGGCCTCCCTACCTCCCTGACTGGATCAGATCCTTCTCTTAGTCTCTCTCCTAGTGACCTCTCTTTCTGAGGATTATTCCATTTTCACATGTGTCCCCCCAAGACTCTTGGCTTCACGGGGCCAGGTCACGTGGCTCATCGTTGCATCTCTGGCATCTATGGTGTCCTGTTTTACTGAGTGAACTACATCATCTGGTTTATTATTACATTGCAGGGGAAAAGGTGGGGCCAAAGATTATTATAAGACAAGAGAAAGTGGGGAAAGACTAGAAAGCTTTGGATTAGAACTCTTCCAGGGGCACCCGGGTGACTCAGTGGTTGAGTGTCTGCCTTTGGCTCAGGGTGTGATCCTGGAGTCCTGGGATTGAGTCCCTACATCAGGGTCTCCCTGCAGGGAGCCTGCTTCTCCCTCTGCCTATGTCTCTGCCTGTCTCTCTCTCTGTGTCTCTCATGAATAAAGAAAATCTTAAAAAAAAAAAAAAAAGCTCTTCTAAACTCAGCAGGGGCACGGCAGGGTGGAAGATACTTCCATCCAGGGAGTGTTCATTTAATGCAGTTTTTTTTTTTTTTTAAAAACCTAATGTTACCTTTGTACTCATTTTCCTACACCGTAGTTGGAAATGTACTCCATTATTCCAGACTCTAGTAGATACTGATAGTCCATTTCAGGAAGAGTTTTTAGTTGGGCGTGTGGCCACCCAAAATGTTTCCCAGACTTCTTTGAAGATAAATGGATGTGCCCGATGGCCCTGCAATCCTAAGTAGGAATAATGTGTCCAACTTCCAAGTTGTAACCTTAAAAGAAGAGGGGAATGTCTTCCACTTCCTTTCTTCCTCCATCCCTCTGGCTGGAATACGACATTCGTTGGAGCCATCCCTGGCCATATGAATGAGGCTGTACCCTGGGGATGGCAGAGCCACAAGACAGATGTCACCTGAGCCTGGCACCTGACACTGGACAGGTTCACTTGGATACTTTCCCTTTGGGATTAGTTACAGCAGCTGAATTGATAATTCTGACATCCAGCCCTGAGCAGTCAGAAATAAAGGGAATGGAAGCATCATTCCTGCGTTGGTGGCCTAGTGATTAAAAAAATGTGATCAAGTCACCTCATTTGTAGAATAAACCACAGTACTATGGCTCTCATAGCAATTTGGCAAATGGGAAATTCTCCTTCCTTATCACCTTCCTACTCATTATTTTACTTCAAGTAGAGGTGGGGATTGAAAGCTCTGGACTTGGCACCAGACAACTCTGAGTTTGAAATTTCAGCCCTATCATTGACTGTCTTAACTATCGTCTCCATCCCTATGTCATAAGGGTATTGTGAAGATATAGTGAGATAAGATGCCCAGAACATGGCCAAAGGAAGCAGTAAATAACAGTGTCTTACACTATTGTTTGTGTGTGTAGGACTTTTCTCCTAGCAACTGACAGAAACCTAACTGAAACTGGCTTTTAGATTTTGTGATCTCTAAATAACTCCCTGGACATTATTTGGCTTTGCAGGTAAAGGAAGTCTGTCCAAAGGAAAGGAAAGGACTGGCTGTGTGGATTCCTGTATTTTTGTTATGGTGGCTATCTATTCTTATTGAAAAGTAGCGTATTAACTTTATGGTTTTATAGCTCGGTTTTATGGATCTTGTTATTATAAACCTGACATAGAGGGATGATGCTTCCCTTATTGTGATAAAATCTAGTTCCTGGGTGAGGATGATGGTCAGACCCTTGATCAAGAGGAGTTCTCCATGGCAATGTTCCCTATGAGGCCTCTTAAGATTGTCTGTCTATCAGTGTTTCTTGGACAAAACCCTAATTCTCCAGGCCAAGCGATTATCACTGTTTTTTTAAAAAAATAATAAATAAATAAGCAGGAATGAGCAAAATTTAATTATTTTGTTTTAGATAGTACTTAAATATTAAGAAAGCTAAAATCTAAAATTCAAAATATATTGGCTAAGTTTTTCTACACATTATATTTACATAATGATTCTGATTTTACCTAAGAACAGTTGCCCAGGAGGAAGGAAAGGAAAGCCTCTGGGGCTTGTACAGTCTTCTCAGGCCAGGTGTCCCACAGCAGAGCAAAGAATGGAAGTGAAGAAGCAAGTGACCCTCCCCTCCCCTCTTTCCCGCTCCCTTTTGTTTTTATTTGAAGCATTTCTGAATAACAAATGTAAAATTGGATTTGGATATAAAAAGCTAGATGACTACCCCAACTCAGAACTGTGTTTCATTGGAGAAGCCTTGGCACAGACAGGACGTGAATTGCCCCTCATCTATAGGGACGCTGTGTCAGAAGTCAAAGTTGCACACAAAAAACATGTAGGATCTCTAAGCAAAAGCATAGCTAGCATCGGCTCCACAAAATGAGGGGGATTTGATCAGACAGTCTGTGACATGGCATCTGGTTCAGAAGGCTAGCTTCTAAGCTCCACTGTCGGGGCAGGGAGGACTCACCCTCTCTGCTAAGGCAGATGTAGGAAGGAAAGTCTAGCATACTGTGGCACCGACATTGTGATATAAAAAAGAACTATATTGAGAGTAATTTAGATCAATAAAGTGAAAATTCTTACCATACTTGTGGGGTAAATTAATATTCAATAGTTTAAAATTTATGTACTATAAAACTGGCAAACTATAGTCTTCAATAAACCAAACACAGTCCTGTGGGGATATTAAATTTGAGAGTAAGCCCAGTGAATACTAAATCTTGAGATCCCACAATCTGTCTGTCCATTATAGTTTTTTCCAGGTCACCTGGAGAAGGGTATTTCTTGGTTCACAGAGGCTCTGAAACATCTTTAAGAAAAAAAAGGGCATCAAGAAATTATGACTCGAGGACTTTAAACCCTAATGTTACAGGCAAAGCCTCATTTTTACGGAATATAAAACACTCTGTTTCTTCCACTTCTAACAGCTCATTAAGAGAAGCCACGACTATATCATGTTCCTGCAACATTTCTGGGTAGCGGGACATGGCTCGCTCAATCCTTGCCGAACGCCGTACAGGGGTGATGAGCTTCATGTCTTGCACGTCTGGCATTCCACTTATTCTGTGAGAAAGAAAGATGCATTCAGAATCTTATAATTTCTTTTGAAATTCTTCTGAATTTTTTTCTTCTTTCCCTAATAATATATGGTAGACATGTCAAGGAAAGTTGATGTAAGAGTACATGTAGGGCCACTCTCCTCCGAAGATGGCTTTTCCTTGATCATCAGAATGAACTGGGTGGTATCCATCTGCTCTCAAATGGGATAAGCACAGGGATTTCCTGAATGAAGTGTTAAGCGTAGTTTTTATTTGGAGTCAAATACTTGGCATTTGGTGTTTGTTTATTCCATAGACTTTCAGAGAGTTGCTAGGTTTTGAGGAAACTGGGTCTAACACCAAATGGCGTTGGACTAATGAATTCTAACATTCTTTCTAGCTTTGACAGAAAATTATTAAAAAAATACCTTTAAAGATGGTGGACCAAACCACAAACTGAAACTAGAACAAACTGGTCATCTTCCTTGTGAGTTTTCATGTGTTCCAATAAAAAGTAGCCAGGAGGATAGTTTGCAGAGACCTTTGCATGTAGTGAATCTGGTCTACGCCTCACAGACCCACTGACTACATTAGCCTAAGCAAAACTAGCAGGCTGGTCTGCTAGAAACTCTCATCATGAATTCCAGAGATTATTTTCAGATCACCTGCTTGCCTTCATCTGTCTGTGAGCCGGCTGTAATGCCAGGACTGAAGGAGAGGTTTTGGACTGGAAGAGGCCCAGCTGTGCTTTCCAGGGAACTAAAATATAGAACTGAGTGGTCCTGGTATTTTTGTTTGGAATTCCCTTTTAGGATCACAAATAGGGCAGCCCAGGTGGCTCAGCGGTTTAGCGCCACCTTCAGTCCAGAGCCTGATCCTGGAGACCCAGGATTGAGTCCCACACCTGGCTCCCTGCATGGAGCCGGTTTCTCCCTCTGCCTGTGTCTCTGCCTCTCTCTCTGTGTGTCTCTCATGAATAAATAAATAAAAAATAAAAATTATTTAAGATCACAAATAGAGGGTACCTGGGTGGCTCCATAGTTTAAGTGTCTGCCTTTGGCTCAGGTCATGATCCCAGGGTCCTGGGATCGAGTCCTGCATTGGGCTCCCTGCTCAGCAAGGAGCCTGCTTCTCCCTCTCCCTCCTTCCCTCCCTCTTTCTCTCTCTCTCTCTCATGGATAAATAAATAAAATCTTAAAATAAAAATCACAAATAGAGACTGATATTATATTAACGTTTTAGGAAATAGCACTGGTACCCTGACACAGTTCCTATGAATTCTGTCTTAAACTTATACTTATTCAAAAACTGAACACTTTCAATAAAATTAGCAGCTTCTATCTAGTACATACCTGACTGCACAGCCTGTCCATATAGGCCTATTGGCTGTCCCTTCTCTCCCACAATTACAGAAGTTGTCCCTGCTTGGCACTCTGTGTCCCTCCCTGGGGCTGGGAGGAAAGGCGGGTTGGATCTGTGAGTGCAGGACCAAATCCAGGAGGGAGGGGAAATCCATTCCAACCCGTCTCCACATTCCAGCATCACCTTCCTCATGGTGGGTTAGGTCTCCTTAGAGTGCTGTGTTGGGAGATGGTGTGTATGCACAGAAAGGGCACAGATTTCTTGTCAATGGCTTCAACCCTCCCCTCACCCTCAGCTCCTTTCCTTAATGCCAAAGATGGATTAGACCCCCTTGGTCTTCACATGATGTGGGGGTGTTCCCAAACTGCTGGTACTCTGGGTCTATGGAAGTGAGACTGAGAACAGGGCTTGAATTAGATATGTAAACACATAGCTTACTTTAGAGGTTGCTTACCTAGGGACTGGGGCGATCTGTAGTTTGATACTAGGATGATTATCCTGTTCTGCCTTGGTTATTTGGGGTGTTGCTGTAACTTGTTCTCTCTCGTTCAGAGAAAGACAAGACATTTCAGATTCTGTCTTATTGGCCAGTTCTTCTGTTGATGTTATATTTGTGTCAGTAACTATAGAGTCAGAAGTAACTCCTGTATATGCAAGGTCAAGAAGGAAAATAAGGTTTAACAACTTAATACTGAAACTAAAAGGCAATAAAATGAAAAATCAATATATACAATGATTTCCCAATTAAATAAAGAGCAATTGATTTGAAGTGAGATGTATAACTAGTTTTTCCTGCCCAGCCCTCTAGAAACACCCTGCTATATCAGGCCATCCTTCTAACCAGCCCTCCAGACAACCTTTGGGTTTTCTTGCCACTTGAGATGGATCCTTGATACCTTTTCAATATTCTGAACACATCCCTAATCTCTTATTCATTCTTGAGGGAGGTTCCCATAGAGACTAATCATTGTCCTTTACCCTAATGCTGTACCTAGGGTCAATTTCCTTGACTTACTAGGGTTAACTCATTTGACCTTCCAATCTCTTCCTACCCAGGGATGACCACTTGGCTATTATCTTGGGAAGTGTGTGAAAAAATGTCTTGTGATAGCTCAGTCACAACAACCAAAATGAAAGGATGTAAATTAGAATGAGATAGGCAGATATTATGGCTGGAGGCTAAAGCTCTAAGAGAGGTCAATGGGGGCCAAGAAGTGGGAAAGGCATGGATTCCTGTCTTTCTTCTCAGCCTTCAGAAGAATAATGCCATAAATCATAAATAAATATCTGAATAGTAACATCATGCCCAGTATAAGGGTATGATTGCATATATCTTCTCTGTGACCTTATCACCAAAAGTAATGGGCTAGTTAGCCATCATTCCACATGACTTGATTGTTCCCCAAGTTCAATCTGTCTTAAAAGAAAAGCATTTGTCACCTTCCAGGATCAGAAAATGAATCTATTTTATTTTCTCAAAGTAGCTTGTTTTTTCTTTCCATTCATATAACAAATATAAACAACTATAGTGGGCCACTACTGTGTTTGGCACAGTATTTTTCATAGAAGAGTTTTCTAAAGCTTCTGACCAATTACAGCAATGGTTAACTGAGTGAAAAGGTTCCCACTCCAGCTATTTTTAAAGGTTATAATGTAAATTTGGATGTAAGTGCTGGTGGGTTGTTATGACATAGAGGCATCTCTCCCTTCTGCCTCAGTCTTGTCTGAGAAAGAGCCACTTGTCTGCTCCTACCTAGTGCTCCAGGGAAGCAAGACACCTTACTCTAGGCTGCTTTTGTGCAAATAACCTTTGTGTAGTGCTGAGCAGTATATTTACCTGTAAAAATAGAAATAAATCAGCTACTGACCGTGGCTAAAAAAATCAGCTACTGACCGTGGCTAAAAAACCCGTGGCTAAATGAACCAAGAAGTGAGAGGGATTTCAGGGGACTTCTAATTCTTTTCTTTTTTTCCCTTTTGAATTCCTCAATGACTTTTACTTGAGCAGCTGGAGGGAGTGAATTTAAATACAAAAATAGCAGTACCTTCTGTGGTTCTGTTTGGGTCTTGCAAAATTTTAAGAACAACTTCCCGCAACTCTTGTATTGGCTAGAAGAAAGAAAATACATAAACAGTATTAAAAACATTAATGGAGAAAATGATCTAAGGAAATTTGCTTACCAACCAATGAGCTTTTTTTAAATAATAAAAATGTTTCCTTTTTTACCTCTTATCTAACTATAACATTTAAAAAGTTCCAGACTTAGAGCTTTATGTGAAAAATGAAGGAACAAAGAAGATGTTGGTTAAATGCTGGCATGCTTGACTTTAATGAAGAGATATGCTTATGGAAAGCTATCTATAGTGACATTTCTCTAATCAGTTAATTTTCTTAATGACTTATATTATCCCACTGAAGTGTGTTTCCATATAAAGATTCTGGCTCAAAGATGTAAAGTTAGCTATACAAAAATGTAGCATATGTTTTCAGTGTTGTCTTAAGTGTCTTTGTGTTTATCATAAAAGCCATATACTATTATATCATATTATTATTACAGGAAAACTGAACAATATTCAAACCTAAAAAGAGAAATCACCCACAATCCAATCACCCAAATACAGCCTTTAGTTAGCATTTTGGATAATTTTTCCCAGCCTTTCCTTTCTTTCTTTTTTTATTTAGTAATATAACATAGCACTAAACATAATATATAAAATAAATATTAAACCTAACATAAAAATATAATATTAGAAAAAATCCATTATTATTAAAAGTACTTTTCTGGTAAAATATTAAACAGTACTTTTCTGGTAAACTTTTCTGAGATAGCCTTCCTTTTTTCAAAGTATCTAAACCACGCCATGGAGCAGAACATCATAAATGAACTGTAATTTTTCATAGGAATATTGTATTTGGAGCTTGGTCTTCTTGACCTGGGTTTCTGTATCAAATAAATGATAAATGTAAACTGACAATAAAGCATAATAGCAAAGCTATTTATACATTTTCACAAAGTCTAATGTGCTTTAAGCTTAAGGGAATGGGAATAAATGTACAGAATACCTTGCAAAATGTCTGAATTATATAAAACATTTATCAAACATAGTTTACATTTTTACAGTCTTCTAGTTAAAGATGATGGATTCAATATACATTTATTTCTAACCCCCACTGAACTCTACTAAAATGATAATGGGAATAAAGGAAGCAATAGCTACAAAGAATAGAAGAAATATCAAGATTTGGAAGCTAGAATGTAGAAGGAAGAGGTAATCAACTTAGCCAACTTGAAAGACCTGAATCCTAAGCTGGCAGTGTGGCACAACATGATTCAACCCCAGGGCCTTTCGGAAAGGCTCAGGTATGAAGGGTGGGGTCAAAATCAGGAGGACTCAAACATCTGTTCAGCAGTCAGACCTCTAAGTCTTTTTCTTTTTTTTCCTTTTTTTAAAGATTTATTTATTTATTTATTCAGAGAGAACGAGAGAGAGGCAGAGACACAGGCAGAGGGAGAAGCAGGCTCCATGCAGGAAGCCCACGTGGGACTTGATCCCCGGTCCCCAGGATCACACCCCGGGCTGCAGGGGGCGCTAAACCGCTGCGCCACTGGGGCTGCCCCTCTTTTTTTTTTTTTTTTCTTTAAAGATTTTCTTTATTTAATTGAGAGAGAGACAGAGAGAGAAAGCACAAGCGGGGGGAGTGGTAGAGGGAGAGGGAGAGGGAAAAGCAGGAAGCCCAATGCAAGCCTGGAATATGTCAGAAAGTTCTGGGAGAAGGGTTTCTAAGAAAAAGAAATTGCTAGGATATCTGATGTTTTAAAAGTATTGGGATATTTTGGACCTCATCAAGATAAAAAGCTTTTGCACAGCAAAGGAAACAATCAACAAAACTAAAAGGCAACCAATGGAATGGGAAAAGATATTTGTAAACGATATATCTGAAAAAGGGTTAATATCTAGAATCTATAAAGAACTTCTCAAAATCAACACTCCAAAAATAAATAATCCAGTTACTTATTGCTTCTTCAGGCAGAGAACACGAACAGACATTTCTCCAAAGAAGACATACAAATGGCCAACAGACACATGAAAAAATGCTCAACATTACTTGCCATCAGGGAAATACAAATCAAAACTGCAATGAGATACCACCTCACACCTGTCAGAATGGCTAAAATTAACAACTCAGGAAATAACAGATGTTGGCGAGGATGCAGAGAAAGGGGAACCCTCTTGTTTTGTTGGTGGGAATGCAAACTGGTGCAGCCATTCTGGAAAACAGTATGGAGGTTCCTCAAAAAGTTAAAAATAGAATTATAATTCTATTTTTAGAATTATAAATTCTAATCACCAGCAATTGTACTACTGGGTATTTATCCAATAGATACAAAAATGTTGATTCGAAGGGGTACGTGCACCCCAATGTTTATAGCAGCACTATCTACAATAGCCAGAATATTGGAATGGAATATTACTCAGCCATCAAAAAGAATGAAATCTTGCCATTTGCAACAACATGGATGGAACTAGAGTGTATTATGCAAAGTGAAATCAATCAGTCAGAAGAAGACAAATATCATATGATTTCACTCATAGGTAGAATTTAGGAAACCAAACAGATGAACATAGGGGAAGGAAAGGAAAAATAAAATAAGATGAAAATAGAGAGGGAGGTGACACTTAACTATAGAGAATAAACAGAGTTGCTGGAGGGGAGGTGGGTGTGTGATGGGCATTAAAGAGGGCCTTATTGTGATGAGTACTTGGTATTACGTGTAAGTGATGAATCACTAAATTCTACTCCTGAAACCAATACTAAAATACATGTTAACTAACTTGAATTTAAAAAAAAAAAAGCATTGAAAAATACAGACAGAGAAAAGCTTGGGAATTAATTATATAGTAATAAATACTCAGAGAACTAAGCAAAGGACTAAGAACTAAGAAAATAAGACAAAAATTAACTTAAGGAAAGTAGAAAGTTGTGCTTGAAAGGCAAAGTAACCATAGTATATATTACATGGCTATATGTATTCATGTATTTCTTACATATTCATAACAATATAAACACAGCATTATTCATAACAATAGTGACCAGGATTTCCATATGACTAGTGGAAATATGGAGGATGGCAAAAGTTTGCAGGCATGTATCTCTTGCAGGCATGTGTGTGTGTGTGTGTGTGTGTGTGTGTGTGTGTGTGTATGTGTGTATGAGAGAAAGAGGGTTAAATCCTCATATTGCACAGTTGGAAGTCTACAAATCATGTCTAAAACTGAAAAATCAAGAAATAGCAATATAAGTATAATATCTCAAACTATCCAGGTAAATATGAAAATAATCAGTTTGCTCTGGGAAGTGGGGAATGGGAGGGGAGGGACACAGAGGCCTTATGGAAAGAAACTTATTGAATGTTTTTGACTATTTAATCCATGTGTGTGTACAACTCTGATTTTGAACAATCATGGGAAGAGGCACATTGGAATATAAAATGACATGGTAAGTGACATTTAAGTGAAAAGAGTCATAAAACTGTTGGAGGCAGTCTTTGTTAAAAAAAGTTATATGGAGGGGCAGCCCAGGTGGCTCAGTGGTTTAGCGCTGCCTTTAGCCCAGGGCTTGATCCTAGAGACCCGGGACCAAGGCCCACATTGGGCCCTCTGCATGGAGCCTGCTTCTCCCTCTGCCTAAATCTCTGCCTCTCTCTCTCTTTCTCTGTGTGTGTCTCTCATGAATAAATAAATAAAATCTTAAAAAAAAAAGTTATATGGAGGCAGTGGTTTTCCTAGGTTTTAGAATTAATTTTTTTTTCATGTCCTGGCTCTGAATTATTGCTGGGTGAATATTGACATGTTGGGCTTAATGTGTTTTTAGGTCCTTTATAGTGGGGTATGACTTTGTAAGTACTGCAAATTGATGTAACTTTCATGCTATTACTTTCCACAAATGCCTATTCTACAATGAGTGTAAAGTGAGACACACTTTACAGCAACAGAGATTCTATTGGTTTACATGAAACACTACTTCTTGCCAAATAAATTTTAAAAAATATTTTCAAAGTTTATTCATTTGAAGGAGAGAGTGCGTGTGCACACGAGTGGGGGGGAGGGGCAGAGGGAGAGGGAGAGAATCTCAAGCAGACTCCCTACTGAGTGGGGAGCCCCAGATGGAGCCTGATCACATGATCCATGAGATCATGACCTGAACTGAAATCATGAGTTTCTATATACATTTTTAATTAAATGTACATAAAGGACATGTTGTGCTTTGTATATTGTATATAACTTTATGAAGTGAATTAGAGATTTAACATGACACTGTATGACTGTCACATTGCAAACAACAGACCACTCACATGAGAGGATTTTCAGGAAGTCACCCAGCCAAGACAGATAGATACTCACTGTTGCCCCATTTCTAATGGCCTCTTCATACAGCCCAATAACATCAAAGGTACCTTTACTTGCCAACAACTTTGCTTTAAGGATCCAGAATTTAGCAAATTTTTCAATCTCAGGAATACTGGACAATATGGTTAATATTGCATTAGAAGGTACACCCTGTTAAAAAAAATACCCAGAGGTATTATTACCACTTTGTTGTTATTCTCACATTTAATATTCATCAGTCATATAGAAATCAGTCTGATCACTTTTTCTTAATTTTTAAAAAAAAATCAGTTATACTGAGGTACAGTTTACATATAATAAAATGCACCCATTTAAACAGTTTATTTAAATGAATTTTGACACTGGTCATTTAATTTTAAGAGTTATATGAGACCAAATAGGAAAACATTTTTCATAGCTGAAGGTAAGGAATATGTTTACATTTTAATGCAAAACCAACCCCTAAACCAAGCCAAACCTTAGAATAATCAACATGCATATATTTCTTACAAATTCATAATACTGTAAACACTGAATAGTGAATAGAATTTCCATATGCCTCTAACAGAAGTATGAAGGATGGCATAGGTAAGCAAGGGTCAAGGGCTATATATATGTGTGTGTTTGGGGATCCATGCAGTGTATATAAAAAGGGGTAATTCTTACAAAAAGTAACTTTGAAATGGCCTCACTGATTTGGTCCCCTTCTGGCTTGTACCTGGAGCAAGGCAGTGACATGGACCCAGAGGAATGTGGGGAGCTACCATGTCCAGAAACCCAGATACTGGCATACCTGGCCAAGCAGTGCCTCCTACTCCTCCTGAGACAGGGGAGCCCCAAAGATAAGCTCATAATCAAGAATCATCAATGTTTGAGTAAACCAACACTACATGAAAGAGACATAAAACTCAACAGAGTTGAAGAAGAAATCAATGAGCTGATAATTTGGCTGTGGAATTCTCCCAGAACTCAGTGCGACAGAACAAAATAATGAAGAGCATGAAAGGAAGTTGAGTTCTGGAGGGTATATCTATTACTCAGGAATTCCAACACCCATCTAAGAGAGGGAACATTCACCAAGACTGATCAGACACTAATTTCAACAAATTCTATCAAGCAGAACACATGTAGGCTACATTTACAATGCAGTATAATTAAAAGTTGAAAGAAAAATAGAAAAAAACCCCACAAAACAAAACAGAACTCTATCTGGAAGTTGAAAAATATTCTTCCAAGATAACTTTCGGGTTAAATGGAAATGGAAATGGAAATTTCAAAATGGAAACCTCAAACTATCTATAGAGATGAACAAAAATGAGAACACGTGTCAATTATTAACTTAGCATCTCCTAGATCCAAACCCACCTTTTATCCTCTCTTTGTGACGGGGGTGGGGGGGGGCGGTGGGGGTGGGGGCTGGGATTCTGTAAATCACTTGCTGCTTTCGCAGCAGCTCCTTGCTGGACTCTGCCAGTAGGGGGACGTTGAGGGAGGTTGTGGGGATGGAGAAGAGAGGGACTTCCTCTTTCCTATTTCCTTTTGCCAAGCCAGCAATGGGCCTTCACTATGGCAGCAGCAGTTAGTTCTACCCTCCACCTTTTTTCCTGGTACTTAGACATCCTGCCTCACTGTGCTCCTTCAGCGGCAAGGGCACCAACAAGGTAGCATCGTTTCCTCAAGGTCTGAGTCCTAGACCTGCTGGGCCCCTCCTCCAGTTCCTCTGGAACCCGCATCTCCTGGCATCTCCTGGCTAGTTCATTAGAGTTGGAGTTTGTCAGTCTCAGCTTCTTGGTTCCTACCCTCAACCTTTCTTTGTCCCCACCCCCCAGACCCAGTGGGTGATAGCTGCTTCCCAAAGTTACTGCCACTGTTATGTCAGGTTCCCTTTTGCTGCCAGCCCTGTGTGTAGTACCCACATCTCCTCTGATGGTCCCTTTACCATTTTTTGTGCACACAGGCTCACAAAGTGCTTTCATGTCCCACAGCCAGCATCTGCTCCTCTTAGTATGTACCGGGGAGTCAGGGTGCCTGGGAAATTGTCTCTCCAGTGGTGGCTGTTAATCAATGACTAGGGAAGTATTAATACTATAGCTCCTTGCCCCGAATCAGGATGACTCTGAGAGGTTTGATCCAGTCTCCAGAGCTCCCCTGTGGGATTGTGCTCACAGTTATATTCCATGGATTTTGTTTGATACCACATCCTACTTGTCCTCCTTTCCCTTCCTGACTTCACATCCCCACTCCCCTCTCAGTTTTCCTTGGGATCCTCTTCCTAATAAATTACTTTCACACAAATTCTCCTCTTAGGGTTTGCTTCTAGGGAACTTACAAAAGACACTGTGAAAACAACCTTTACATTACATTCTTTTTATGAAGATACCTGGTGCAGTTTCTGCTTTTCTGACTTGACTCTAACACAGAACATTACTTAGTCAAATGTAAAGGGTATGACCAAAGCTAAATTCAGAGGCAAATTTATAGCATTAATTATATTTTTAAGAAAATAAGACTGATATAAATGATTTAAGCTTTCAACTAAAAAGGCTAATAAAAAACAAACATAAAAATAGATGCAGACATGGATGCAAGAGAAAAAAATCAATAAAACCCCAAAGATGGCCTTTTAAAAAGATTAATAGAGAAATCTTTAAATAAAAGGCACAAAATTACTAACATTACCTGGAGAAATATAAAATCCCAATAAACTAATGATCATAGAAAAAAATTGAAAAGATATACCTAGGGATCCCTGGGTGGCGCAGCGGTTTGGCGCCTGCCTTTGGCCCAGGGCGCGATCCTGGAGACCCGGGATCGAGTCCCACGTCAGGCTCCCGGTGCATGGAGCCTGCTTCTCCCTCTGCCTATGTCTCTGCCTCTCTCTCTCTGACTATCATAAATAAATAAAAATTAAAAAAAAATTTCTAAAAAAAAAAAAAAAGAAAAGATATACCTAAAACTATCCCCCATAGTCTAGATAACTTTATGGGCAAGTTCTTACTAAACTTTCAAAGAAAAAAATAATTCTCATGTTGTATAAACTATTTTCAGAGTATAGGAGGAAAGGAAAATGCCCAACTTATTTGACAAAGCCAGCACAATACTAATTTTAGGGAAACACAGGAAAAGACAACTAAAGAATATACATAAAAATTTGAAATAAAATATTTGCAATTCACAAAACTATATACTTCCTTTCTCTTCTTTTATGATAATTGTATGAGAGCATATAAAGTGTTAGAATAGGGCCTGGCATTCAAGAGCCACTATTTAAGTGCATGTCATCATTATTATTGCTACTCTTCTTCTATAATTAAAAAAAGCAGCTGAATTTCTGCTTAGACCGGGTTTTTTTCTCTTAAACCATATTTAAGAAAACTGCTTAAAAACTCTAAGACTCTAGGCCAAGGTTTTGGGAGCTTATCCTTCTCACCTCCTCAATGAGCTGCAGACATTGTGTTAGGGTGCTGTTAATTTTATTGGACAGTTCAAGTTGTGCTTTCTTTTCTTCATCTTCTTTTTCCATACTCTTCCAGAATGAAATATTCATTTCCTCTATTACTTTTCTTTTTGTTTTAAGTTCCATAGGAGGCCGTTTATAGATTTTCCCCTTAGACTTCTGCCATTCTTCCAATTGTTTCCTGTTATAAAATTAAAGGGGGTGGGGTGGGAAAATGCTTTAGGTTTCTTTTTGCATATAGTCACAGTTCCGAAGTATAGATATGCATGGATTGAGTACCGCTAAATACCTTCACTGATACACAAAATTAGGAAAATGGAATAAAAACAATTTACAAATGGGTAATGGCAGCACTGGTTGCCCCTACCCTTCAGAAGGCAGACTGCAGAGGGATTACTAGGATTACAGTAATCCCTGTGATACAGTGGCTAGTATCTTAGTCTTCAAATTCCTCGACTTCACGATTATTCTTCATTATTTTTTTCTAAAAATTTTCATTTCACCTGTATATTACCTCTGGTATTTGCTTTCCTAGGAGATCCTTCCATCTCTGAGATCTCAAACTCAGTACTCTATTTCTCTTACCATAAACTCTCTGCCATTCAAACAGACCCACCAAACCTGCATTCTGCCCTTATTAGGGTCTTGGGCAGAATGATCCACTTTGCCCAGTTCCTTAGCCCTCTCCTGACCACATATGACCCCCTTTCTTCCTAAACAAGATCAGTAATTTCAAGAGTGTTAAGGAGCTAGTCTCTGATGGTGGCCAAGTTCTAATCCTCATTCTCCTCCACTGTTCACATCTTCCACTCCTGCTTCTAAGCAGTCAACAGACTACTGTTGGAGGAGGCATCAAGCCCCATGGATTCAAGCATGTGAATGTAGGGTCTTTAGCTTCTTTAAATTACTACATGTTTATAATTCACAGATATATATTTCAAGCCAGATTTTTCCCTGGAGCCTCAAACTTTGTAAAACCCACTCCTAGTTGGTATTTTTATTAAAAAGTTTCTAAAAAAATATTTTATTGGGGCCATCCCTGGATGGCTCAGCAGTTTAGCACCTGCCTTCTGCCCAGGGCATGATCCTGGAGTCCTGGGATTGAGTCCCGCATCGGCCTCCCTGCATGGAGCCTGCTTCTCCCTCTGCTTGTGTCTCACCTCTCTTTCTGTGTCTCTCATGAATAAATAAATAAAATCCTTGAGAGAAAAAAAAATATTTTATTTATTTATTTTAGAGAAATAGAGAGAGCAAGGACAAGCAGGGGGAGCAGCAGACAGAGGGAGAGGGAAAAGCAGGCTCCCTGCTGAGCAGAGAACCCTCCCTCCCCCAACATGGAGCTCAATCCCAGGAACCTGGCACACTCAACTGACTGAGCCACTCAGGCACCCCCTTGTTGGTCTTTTTTATTTGATGTCTGGCAGGCATTTCAAATTTAATACTGTCTAAAACAAAGGTCTTGATTTTCATCTCTAAACCTGTTCCCAAACAGCCTTTCCTACATTGGTGAATAGTACCCCAATCTACCCAGTTGCTAGGATCTAAAGCTAGGAGTTGTCTTTATGTAGTCCTTTCTTTTTCCCACATCTGACAAACCACTGTAGAGGCATTAGGCTTCTATCCCTCCTACCACCCTCCTAGTCCATATCACTATCACCATCTGCCTGAAATGCCATAGCAGCCTCTTTCCTAAACCATGTCCTTGCTTCCACTTTCATCCTTATCAAATCCATCATGTGCACAGTAGCCAGAGTGGTTTTTAAAGTGTAAAGTGAACCGTGCCACTACCAGAAACTTCCCATGGCTCTTGGAATAAAATTAAACATATTTTCCATGGCGGAAATGCAGTATAATTTGTGTCCTGCCTGCCTCTCCAACCTCATGTCATACCACTTTCCCTCTCCCTCCCCTCCAGGAGCTCTGGTATCCCTTCAGTTACTTGAGCCACACTCATTCCTGTCTCAGGGTCTTGAATTATCGTCTTCATCCAGTCTTCTGCCCAAACGACACCTCTTTAAGAGGTAATTATAGGTAATTATTTTATTTCATCAATGTGTTCATTTTTTGTCTTCTCCACTAGAATGCAAATTACATGGATATACCAGTGCCTAGCTCAGTGAAGGCAAACACCATGGATATACCAGTGCCTAGCTCAGTGCCTAGAACACACAAGTGTTCAGTAATCTACAGCAAAATTCACTTTTTTTCAAGTATATAGTTCTGCGAGTTTTGACAAATGCACAAAGCTATCTAACTATAACTACATTCAATATATACCTTCAAAAATTTCCTCATGCTTCTTGGTAGTCACTTCTGTTTCTCTTCCCAGCTCCTGGTGATCACCGATCTATTCTGACCTTATGGTTTTGCTTTTTTTCCAGAATATCAGTAATGAATTAAAACCTCTTTGCTTCTCTCTTTGACTCCAGAGCACAATCCATAGCGCTTATTTCAGGCCCAACTGCCCTGCTCCCTTCACCTTCATGCTGACCACCTGCTTATAATGACAGATGCTGAGATTCTGGCATATGTTTCCTCTATGGTCCTGGCATTCTTCCCATCTTAGCCTTCCTTCCAATGATAAATGAAGAAGAAATTTACCTTTTTCTAAAGCCAACTTATTCCCAGAACCTCAATGCTATGATTTTATTATTCTAGTACTTTCCATATAGGGACCAGAAAAAACTCCACTAAGGCGGACTGTGTGCTCACCCCTGTATCTCTCAGTGCCCAGTACATTATAGGTGCTGAAGGGACATTTGAGCAATGAGTGAGTGATCTATCCCTCTTCACAGATTCCTCTTATGTAATCCAACATGGTCAGCACTCCACACACTGTCTTAAAGACCCATCATCCCTTATCTGGTCTAGACTATGAGCTCCAGGGGAGAGACTCTGACTTCCTCATTCACCAGCTTGAGGTCTTGTACTCAGTTTTCTCTTGCTCAGAAGGCTCATCCTTCTTTTTGTCACTATCTTTTCCTAGACGAGATGTCACTGTTGAAAATATTTCCCTGACCCATCTATCTCAAGAAATCAACTCAGCCTCATTCTCTCAATCACTTCACCCTAAATTAAACTGTTTATTTTCTGTCTCTTCAGGAGGGCAGAGAGCTTGTTGGTGGTGTGCAGGGCTGTATTCAGGGAATAAATCCTGCCCTCACTTCATCTTGCTATATACCTTTTGGCTACCATCTCATTTTCCATGTTCATTTCACCTTTGTCGGGAATCTCCTTATTTTCTACTCCAACCAAGTGTACACAGGTGCTTCTTCTGGGAGGTTCACTGCATTATGAGACTATATCAGGTCCTGTGCAGGCAGACAGTGTGAAATCCCTTGGCTTGGTTTCCAGCTACATGGGTGTTAATGTTAACTCCCAGTACCCTGAGATCCTGATTTCTACCATTTGAACTCTGGATGTGAACTCATTGCTCCTCTTTGTCCTGGCTTACGTTCCAAAACGGCCTGCTCACACTCATGGAAGTTTCCTGTTCCTTCTTCCCTGATAGCTTTTCTGAATTTAACCACTGGTCTGCTTAACAATGACTACCAGCTCCCCACGTGCTAGCTATGTAAATTCAATGTTCTAGCTCCTCCCATTTGGCCTCTTGCACTGCTCTTCAGTCCCTGCAGGGGTGTTTCTTGAATGAGTAGTCTAAATCTTCAACCCCTATTCCTTATTCAACCATTGTTTCAATTTCTTTTTAAAAATAAATTATTTCTCGCTTCGGCAGCACATATACTAAAAAAATAAATTATTTCAAGCATACAGAAAATTACAGAAAATAATTTCTAACACATGTATGTACTACCCAGCTCTATCAAGTCTTAATATTTGTTATATTTGCTTCCAATCTTCTCTTTTTCAGGGTTGTAGTTAAAAATTACTCAGAATCCATTATTTACAGAAGCCTATCTCCTGATTGAGTATTCCTGATGCTCAGTTTGCCTAATCTTAAATTGCAAAACTATGGAATTAGACAAAGTACCTTCGATCCTCTGCTGTGATCTTCTTAATATTTGGATTGGTCTGGGTCCCATTTGGGACTCTTCCTCCATTTATAGTTTTGTTACCACCTTGAGTTTTGGGAGCTGTCTTATTAAGAAAGTGGTTCTGGGGAAGAGTCTTTTTCAACTTGGAGTCCAAAGTCTGTGCTTTTTGTTCATAGCTGTTGCGGCATTTATTACCACTGGTTCCATTTGCTGTTATGACAGGGGTGCTTGGAATGACTGAATTAAAACTGCCAACTGCCAAATTAGGCCTTTGGCTTGTGCGTTTTGATTTTTGTGGTGCACATGACGTCTGAGTTTTGGAACAAGGTTGAGTGGATTTCTGATCTTGCTTAAAGTTTGGATGTCTGTTGTTAAAGCCTCCCCGAAGCACACTGGGGCATGTCCAGGGTTTGGTTTGTTTTACTTTCTGTTCAGTAACAGTGTGTGACTGTAACTTACTTTCATTTGGTCTTTTAGAGTTATCTCTATTAACCTTTATATCCTTTATGTCCTTGACCACTGGTTTTTTTGACGCCTGAGTCCTACCAAGGGTCTGAACGTTGTGAGACGGAACTGTCTTTGGGAGTTTTTCTCCTGGTCTTGCAAGATTTGTTCCTCTTGAGAGTTGCTGTGACTTTACTGGTGATGTCCTAATTTGTGTTTTTCCAACAAACTGTTTATTTACTCTGTCTTTCAGAACAGCACTATTCCCTGAACCTTTGCCCAAGGCTTGTTTAGGAGCCAAACTGCTCTTGACTTGATTATAAGAGTTAGTCTTTGGCTTACCTATTGCCCATAATTCAGGATTTGGCTTCGTTTCAGAGTCTGGTAAAGTTTGGGGCAAGTTCTCTTTGTTCATCTCTTTTAGAAAGCTATCCAAGGGTTCATTTTCAACATGGTTACTGTTCACAGAGTCTGCATATTTAGTATTTCCTTGATCTGCTACTTGCTGCTTTGCAGTTTTCAATTCTTGCATATTAAGTGATCCCATGGTTTTTCTAGATAATTCTTCAGTAGTGGATGATACAGCTTTATGCTGTTGGCCTTTGCTGGAAGGCTTACAGTTTGAGTTAGAAGAAACACATCCTGAAGTCAGCCTTCTACCCAGAAGTTTTGGTGGCTCCAACTTTGGCTTCTGGGATCCCATAAGATTGGCAGGTCTGGGCTGGAGCTTAATGTTGATGGGTCTTGTAGCTTTGATAGGCAAAGCAACATGATTGGTAACATCCTTTTTGGGTATTATATTCTAAAAAGACAAATAGAAACATCAAAAAAGTAAATTCATCACAATAGCTCACTATTTTTAAAATAAAAAACTACTAAAAAATAAAAAAATTATTTTATTTAGAATTTAAGAAAGCTGAATCTGAGAAAACAAATGCTCATTGATGACTTAAAATTTATTTATTTAATTTAGAGAGAGAGTATGAGTGGGTGGGGGGAGGGGCAGAGGGAGAGAATTTCAAGCAGACTCCCCACTGAGTGCAGAGTGTAGAGCCAGACCAAGGCTTGATCTCCTGACCATGAGATCATGACCTGAGCTGAAACTAAGAGTCAGATGCTCAAATGACTGAGCCACTCAGGTGCCCCTAGATGATCTTGAAAACTTGAACTCGGGGATCCCTGGGTGGCGCAGCGGTTTGGCGCCTGCCTTTGGCCCAGGGCGCGATCCTGGAGACCCGGGATCAAATCCCACGTCGGGCTCCCAGTGCATGGAGCCTGCTTCTCCCTCTGCCTGTGTCTCTGTGCCTCTCTCTCTCTCTCTCTCTGTGTGACTATTATAAATGAATAAAAAAAATTAAAAAAAAAGAAAACTTGAACTGTAATCAGAATATACCAGAATATTTAAGCTTGATAGAATTAAGCAGAGATACAGTGAACATCCAAAAACTGCTGTTTAAAAAATAAATTTGCCTCAGTTGAATAAGTACTTGCTGAATGTTCCATTATGTTCCAGATCAAGTGTCCTTCTAGGGAGGGACTCTGGGAAGATAGATACATAATAAACTTCTGTTGAGGTATCTCCCAAGTGCCTCCTAGTAGTACTGTGTATTGCTCCACTAATTTTTTCTTCTTCTTTTCTTTTTTAAACAACACTGCTTTTGTAAAGGTCAGTGTCACACAAGAACCTTTGTCTTGTCTCTGGAGATCAGTGCAAGGATAGGTGGTAGATGCTGGGAGGCCTAAGATACTTTAGAACAGTTTTCAATAAAATCTAACATCTTAGTAGAAAGTTAGTCATATTTTTAAAGCCAGGACAGGGTTTTAAGGTTAGATTCTACATTATTATCAAGTAAATATTTTAGTCATGTGATTTTATCTTGGATAAGAAAGGTAGGACTAGGTCATAGAGAACTTAGAAAACTAGGGATAGGAATTTATAATTGATATGGGAAATAATTAGAGCAAGCCACTGTGGATTCTGGAGCATTTGCACCGAGAACAAGTATTTACTTATTTATTATTATCATTTTTAAAACATTTATTTATTTATTTATTTATTTATTTATTTATTTATTTATTTATGAGAGACACAGAGAGAAACAGAGAGGCAGAGACACAGGCAGAGGGAGAAGCAGGCTCCATGCAGGGAGCCTGATGTGGGACTCGATCCCGGGTCCCCAGGATCATGCCCCGGGCTGAAGGCAGACGCTAAACCACTGAGCCACCCAGGGATCCCTATTTATTATTATTTTTAAAAGATTTTATTTATTTATTCATGAGAGACACTCAGAGAGAGGCAGAGATACAGGCAGAGGGAGAAGTAGACTCCCTTTGGGGAGCCTGATGTGGGACTCAGTCCCAGGACTCTGGGATCATGACCTGAGCCAAAGGCAGATGCTCAACCACTGAGCCACCCAGGTGTCCCTGAGAGCAAGTATTTAGAAAGGAGAATTTGGCAGAGATTTATAGATTATATGTGTCCAGGGGAAGATATGGGAGTGCTAGAGTTACCACTCTTTACTTTTGATTTGGTAATATTCTTGAGAATTACTGTGTAAACTTTGTGAACATATAAAGAAAGTCTATAATCAGAACTATCTGACATTAAGGGCAGAGATGTTCGCTCTAGAATGGTAAATGTACCGCAGTGTTGCTGGGGGTGGGATGGGGCAGGGTTGGAAGTGGGAGGCAAGGAGATGGATGGTTACATGGTTACCATGGTTAAAGCTGGGTTATTCCTTGAGTCCTAACGTTTACATCCGTCTCTGATCATTCCATTATTGCTTAGTGAAGAGGCAGGGATGATGGTATCAAAGTTTCGAAACATGTGCTATTCATTAGTTGTTCTTTTTCTTTAAATTGAGATATAATTTGCATCCCATAGAATTCATCATTAAAATGTCTAAGTCAGTGAGTTTTAGTATATTCACAAGGTTGTATAACCATCACCACCCTCTAGTTTCAGAATATTTTCATCACCCCAGAAAGAAATCCCATACCTGATAGAAGCCACTCATTTCCTTCTCCCCACAAACAGTGGCAACCACTAATCTGCTTTCTGCCTCTACAGATTTGGCTGTTCTAGACATTTCATATGAATGGAATCATATAATATGGGCGTTTTGTGTCTGGCTTCTTTCATGTAGCAGAATGTTCTTGAGGCTCATTCATATTGCAGCATGTGTCAATCTTCACCACAATTTTTCAATAATAAACTATTTTTTTAGAGCAGTTTTAGGTGCAAAGCAAACTTGAGTGACAAGTACAAATTCTCGTAAACTCCTTGTCTGCATACATGCATTTCATTACTTTTTATGGCTGAATAAATATTCCATTTCATGGATATACCATATTTTGGTTATCTACTCATTGACTGATGGGCATTTGAATTGTTTCCACTTTTTGGCTATTATGAATTATGTTGCTATGAACATTTGTTATAAGCTTTTATGGGAGCAGATTTTTTTCAGTTCTCTTGGATATATACCTAGGAGTGGAATTGCTGGGTCATATGGTAATTCTGCTTAACTTCGAGGAACTGCTAGACTCTTTTCCAAAGTGGCTGTAGCATTTTACATTGCCACCAACATTGTATAAGGCTCTAATTTCTCCACATCTTCCCCAATCCTTGTTATCTGTCTTTTTTTTGATTATAACCATCCTAGTGGGTATGAAGTGGTATTTCATTGTGGTTTTTATTTGCATTTCCTTGATGGGTAATGATATGGAGCATCTTTTCATGCCCTTATTGGCCACCTGTATATCTTTGGAGAAATGTTTATTCAGATCTTTTGTCCATTTTTAAATTATTATTATTATTATTATTATTATTATTATTATATTACTATTATTCTTTGTCTATTTTAAAGTTGGGTTATTTGTCTTTTAATTGTTGAGCTACAAGAGTTCTTTATATATCCTGGGTAGTATAGGTTCTTATCATATATAAGACTTGCAGGTATTTTTCTCTTTTGTTCAGTTTTTATTCCTTTGAGATCAGCCTGACCTTGCTAATTTATTTAAGTGGTAGAAATGGTCCTGTCCTTCAGTTTTAAGTACTAAATGCTTACAAGAAACACTATGCTTACAAAAGTCATCTGGCTAACAAAATAGCCTGCAATCAATATGCAAATACAGACCATTAAGGCTGGAATTTTATTTTATTATCATCATTATTATTATTTTTTGAGATTTTACTTTTAAGTAATCTCTATACTCAACATGGGGCTCAAACCTACAAATCAAGATCAAGAGTTGCATGCTCTACTGACTGAGCCAGCTGGGTGCTCCTTGGGTTGGAATTGAGCCCCTCCATTTAAGAAGGAAAGGTCAGGCATAGGCAGGGCTGGAGCTAGAACTTCAGTCTCCAGCTCCTCATCTCTGATAACTCACCTCAGAATTGATGGATCAAAATGATTTAAAAAAAAAATCCAAGAATGTACAAGAAAGAACAACAATTGATTCAAACTGAATTGGGTCACTTTATTTTGGACATATGAAGCCAGAGGAGAGAGAAAATGCACAAAGGATATGACTAGGATTTAAATCAAGACAGGTTTTCTGGATGTATACTAGGCGCTGTGCCAGACTCTAAGGGCATGCAAAGATGAGAGAAGAGGACACCTGCTGCTGAGGAGCACTAATAGAAAAGATATATGCACAAAAAATTATGTTATGATGAAATGAGGGCTCTGGTAGGGCTGGGAGAGATTGCAGAACTCATTTTTTTTTTAAAATTTAAATTCAATTAGCCAACATATAGTACATCATTAATTTCAGATGTGGTGTTCAAAAATTCATCAGCTGCGTATAACACTCAGTGCTCATCGCATCATGTGCCCTCCTTAATGCTCATCATTCATTTACCTCATCCCCCTAGCAGAGTTTATCTTACCAGTGTTTTTCAAGCATTTTTGTTCATATAAGCCCAAAATAATTTTGACAAATTCTGTACCTTTTCATACTTATTAAAGTTAACATCTAAAGTTTTTCATTGCTATTTCAAATAGTTACAAAAGATGTCATTTCAGGCACACTGTAAATACTGGCATTTTAATATATAATGATATTTGACACTCAGTATAATCCATTTATAAAACTATACAAAATACTCTTATTTAAAAACTGAAAACATAACACATTTCCCTTTTTCCCTTGGTCTATTTTTGTTCCAGTTCACCACAATATTTTTATCCTAGATTTTTGTGCTTAGAAGCTTATAGTTCATTATCCTATCATACTTCTCAACAAAAATATGTTTATAAATTTATCTCAATTTGTATTTGTCATAACTATAAAGTTCATCAAAGAAGATAAATGTTACCAATTTTGATCACAAATTATCAAACATAAGTGTAAAATATTTTTTTTTTAATTTTTATTTTATTTATGATAGTCACACAGAGAGAGTGAGAGGCAGAGACACAGGCAGAGGGAGAAGCAGGCTCCATGCACCGGGAGCCCGACGTGGGATTCGATCCCGGGTTTCCAGGATCGCGCCCTGGGCCAAAGGCAGGCGCCAAACCGGTGCGCCACCCAGGGATCCCGTAAAATATTTTTTTATAAAGAAATAGAAATGTATCTTTTAATGAATTAATTGGAGCACCCCATCCCCTAGTTTGTTTTCATTGGGAGACATTTGTTGCTACAATGAGACAGAGATCTGCATCAATTTTATTCCTTTTTCTTTTTATATAAAACCAGAGAAAACATTTTCACGTTAATAAGTAGATGGGTTAGAATCCAGAATACATAAGGAACTCACACAACTCAACAGCAAAAAACAAATAATCCAGTTGAAAAATGGAGGACATGAGCAGACGTTTCTTCAAATAAGACATACAAATGGCCAACAGACACCTGAAAACATCATTTTTCATCAGAGAAATTCAAATCAAAACCACAATGATATCATCTCATACCTGTCAGAATGGCTAAAATAAAAAACACAAGAAATGACAAGTGTTGGTGAGGATATGGAGAAAGGGGAACCTTTGTGTACCATTGGTGGGAACACAAACTGGTGCAGTCACTGTGGGAAACAGTATGGAGGTTCCTCAAAGAGTTAAAAATAGAACTACCTTACCAGCCAGCAACTGCACGTCTAGGTATTTACCCGAAGAATATAAAAATACTAATTCAAAAGGATATATGCACCCCTGTTTATTGCATCTATGTGCAATAGCCAAATTATGGAAGCAGTCTAGATATCCATCAGTAGATGAATGGATAAAGAAGATGTGGTGTGTGTGTGTGTGTGTGTGTGTGTGTGTTTATAATGGAATATTATTCAGTCATAAAAAAGAGATCTTGCCATTTGCAACAACATGAACAGATCTAGATAGTATAATGCTAAGTGAAATAAATCAGAGGAAAACAAATACTATAAGATTTCACTCATTTGTGGAATTTAAGAAACAAAGAAAGAAAGAGACAAATCATAAAACACTCTTAATTATAGAGGACAAAAAGCTGGTTACTGAAGGGGAGGTGTGAAGGTGGAATGGGTGAAACAGATGAAGGAGATTAAGAGTAACTAGTTTGATGAGCATGGAGTAATATATAGAATGACTGAATTACTTTATTGTACCCTTGAAACTAATTTAATACTATATGATAACTATACTGGAATTAAAATTAAAAAAAGTACATGGGAATAGATGTTTTGTTGCAGCAGTAATAGTCAATTCTCTGAACTCATTTAGAGACAAATGCTAAAAATTACATAGTGATCTCTCATCAAAAAAATTATTTTTCATGTTCTACTAGATGACAATGCTGAATGCAAAGAACTAGAAGGCACCTGAACTGCAAAAGGTTTTCTCAATATCAACACCATTATTTCATGATTGTCCCTTGATTTTGTACCCTGGAGGTATTCCCATCCCAGGGCAAAGCATCATATTAAGATTAGGGATAAGAAGGGTGAGTGGTTTATCTAAAAGAGCAGAGAAAGAAAGAATTGAAAAATGGTAGAAGGATGACATTGCCAAGGGATGTGGGAAAGGATTAACTGTATGTGAGGCACATTCTACAACAAATTAATTTTAAGCAATGGAAGTTGAAAATCTGGAAATTGATTCTACTAAAATGTTTACCCATTGGAGATATTTATGCACCTCCAGAGGATCATACAGTCCAGTGTGTAGACATTTCTAAACGTATTTCAATATGCACTAACTCAATCCCTTTGAACAGCTCTATGAGATACCACCTATTATTTCCATTTTACAGATAAAGTTAAATAACTTGCCCAAAGTCATTTAACTAGAAAATGAAGGAGTTAGGATTTGGACCTACGTATTTTTTAACAATTATGCTTTACAGTTTCTCAATAAATTTAAGAGCATGGCCCCAAGGAATCCTTTCAAATCTTGGTTCAATATGTTAAACTGCCAGATAGGAACAGAAGATGAAAAACATTATGCGGGGATCCCTGGGTGGCGCAGCGGTTTAGCGCCTGACTTTGGCCCAGGGCGCGATCCTGGAGACCCAGGATCGAATCCCACGTCGGGCTTCCGGTGCATGGAGCCTGCTTCTCCCTCTGCCTGTGTCTCTGCCTCTCATTCTCTCACTGTGTGCCTATCATAAATAAATAAAAATTAAAAAAAAAAGAAAAAAGAAAAACATTATGTGTTCCTTTAAGTAGTAATACTGCGGTAAGAGTATGCCAGAAAAGCTTTGTTCAAGTCCTGGCTCTAACCCTTAATGGCTGTGTAATTTTGGCAAAGTACTCAATCTCCTTTAGCCTCAGTCTTCTCATCTGTAAAATGGGAATAAGAATAATGATATTTATCTTCTAGGAAGGGTGTCATAACATTCTGGTTTTCAAAAGATAGTTTTTGTTTATGGCTATTGGCCCAACATAACAGTTTCCCCCTTTAATCTCAAAAGTATCTGGGCATTAAATCGTAAGGCCACCCTTCTTATGGGGTTGTTTTGAATATTAATTGAGATACTGTGTGTAAAGTGTCTTGTCCAGTATCTGGATGATAATAAGTACTCAAATGTTAGCTATTACAATTAGGTATGAAAATGTTTTATAAGTTTTATATAAATTCTGTCATATAAATGATGACTATTATTTGCCTAGTCCTTTTAGTTTCTCCTATTCCGTAATTGCCTTTCCCACTTAATTTTTATCTTCACAATTGGGTAAAAAAGATAGGTAGGTATCACCTCACGTAAGAGATGATTTACTGAAAATCAGTATTGTCAGCTTCTAGAGAAGCCTCTGGGAACTCTGAATGTGAACAGTTTTTTCCCAGCAGATTTTTCCTCTAAGACTTGCATGCTACACTAATTCAATCTGCATAAAGTAGTTTAACCTAGTGATTCTCAACCGTTCACATCATGATGTACCAATTTTGCCTTATATTCATTTTCTATCCTTCACAGTGTCAATTATATGTAGCCTTTCAGAAGGCTAATTTTTCCCATTTAAACCTTGAAAATGTGAGGATCCTTTACCACTCTATCCATAATCTAGCTGAATTGAACTGTTGAGGAAGCTATCTTGTTAAGCAGTTTGGAAGATCTAATATAGGTGTTCCCTTTTAATGGCTACCGAGCCATTTAACTTCATGGCAATACCAAAGTGGTTAAGACCATAGGCTCTCACTCTATCATGTAAGAACTATGTGACCTTGGGAAGTTACTTAATGTTTCTGTGAGTTAGGTCCCTCATCTGTAATATAGGGCTACTAAGTACTTACCTTATAACGTTATAAGGACTCAATGAGTTAATGTTAAGTCAGAAAAGTGCTACACATAGCATGTACTCAATTAGTGTTAGTTATTAAGAGGACCAATGTACACCTGAGGATTTTTTTGGTTAATAAAGCTGAACTATAACATGCTATACTTTTCAAAAAGTGATTCTATCTCTTACTAAACCAAATGTTTTTTATTTATGAGAAATATCTTTGCATAACATAGTCTTTAGGTTGCAAACATCTTTATTATTTTTTATCATTAATCATCCAAAATGATTAGTTTTAAAGATTTTATTTATTTAGAGAGAGAATGCATGTGGTGAGTGGGGGAGGGGCAGAAGGAGAGGGAGAGGCACAATCTCAAGCAGATGCTGCTGAGCACAGAGCCTGATGTGGAGCTGGATCCCAGGACCCCAAGATCATGACCTGAGCTGAAATCATGAGTCGGTCGCTCAACTGATTGAGTCACCCAGGTGTCCCCAAAATGATGATGATTATTTTTTAAAGATTTATTTTATTTACTTATTTTAGAGAGAGAGAGAGAGAGAGAAGGGGAGGGCTGGACTGCAGGTACGTCTTTTTTTTTTTTTTTTAATTTTTATTTATTTATGATAGTCACAGAGAGAGAGAGAGAGAGAGAGGCAGAGACACAGGCAGAGGGAGAAGCAGGCTCCATGCACCGGGAGCCTGACGTGGGAGTCTTAAGCAGACTCTATGCTAGGGGAGAGCCCGATGTGGACCCACAAAACAATACTTTTTTTAAAAGACTTATTTCTACTTACAGATTTAGAAAGTGGAGGATTCAGACGATTACTCTTGGCTTTTAGATAAGGCCTATAAAAGATAAAATAAGATTCTTAGTACAGAATGATCAGTAAGGTTTGGGAAGTATAGTGATTAAAATTTATTATAATTAGAATTATAAATAACTGGAATTTCTGTATATAGTAAAATAATTCAAAATTATATGCAATAAAGTCTTCTTATTATCCCTTTCTTAGGCCTGCTATTCTACTCCTCAGTGACCACACCACTCTCTCCCATTTTTTTGTGATTCTTTCAGAGATGTCCTATGCATAAATACAGTACTCGAACAAGGTTAATGAAATATATGTGTTTTCTTCATATTTGCATAGTGTTGTTCATTCAAACATCATTCCTTGAACACGGCAATGTGCCAGGCTCCTCTAGAGATACAATGTCAAGTAAGGTAACAGCTCCTTTGAAAAATTTCCTTGTTTGAATATTCATTATTTACCCCTGAATATTAAAAAAAATAAAAACCAGAGGCATATATAAAATCTAGCCAGTGAGACAGAAAATGCAAAAAAGGTTAGGAAAGTAGAGGAGTATTTAGAAGGATTCAATATGCATGAATCAAAAATAATTGCCAGCCTAATAGGGACTTTGATCATGACTTGCTGTTACTTTCCTGTATCTTGAATATAAACCCTGGAGGGGAAGGGACCTCTCTGTCTTTTTAAGTACCATATCTCCAGAACCAAGAGTGATTGATATAGTAGAGGTATTAAATAAGGATTTGTTGGATAAATGAATTAGATTTATTTAATCAAGGAACTAGAGTTGAGTGAAATCCCAGAGTAAAAGGAAACTAAAATACAAGGCCAAAACTAACTTTGTAAAAATTCACTTCCAAATAAAAATTTAGCAACATCTGGGGAGAAAAATACATCAAGACTAAAACAAGAGGGACTAATAACACCACTACAATGGCAAGCTGTTGACAAAAGATAAAAGTGAATTAGTCATAATCTGTTCACCTCAAGAGTAAGTGCTAAGAGAATGACCAAAGAGCACTGTCAGGCTGGAGGATGATGGTGTGCAGCTAGGGAAGACTGACTAGAACTGGCTCTCCTGCCTTACTAAGGACAAACAGAACCAGCATCATTCAACTCCTTAACTCTTTCTAGCCTTCACAAGAATCACTTTCCCAGGAAAGAAAAAGCAGGGTCAGGAAAAGTTTCCAGTAGGCAATGCTGTGGACCTTCTCCCCCTTCCTACAGAAACTGTCACAATAATAGTGCTTGGGCTGCCCAGGGGTTTTTGTCATGTCTGGACTAATATACCCTTTTTTGAGGGATCATAGGATGTCAATGCAGGCTGAGTACACTGCAAACAATAGGGCTATGTTTTGAAAGGCTTTAAATTGCTAGTTGCAACAAGGGCAACCAAACTTGCATAACTGTGTGAGACAAACTCACTTGGTGGTTTGGCACTTCAGTTTTCCTTTGGCTGCTAGGTACTCCTGGAGCTTTCTCTGTCGCTCTTCTGCAAGATAGGCAAGCAAACAAACAACAGGACTTTAGATGGAGATTTTTAACCAGTTCATCTATATTCTAAAAGATGGCACTTATTGGTAATGATTTTGGCGTTGGACCATATAAGTCCCTAGATCCACAAATTTGCCTCTAAGTTAATGTCTATATCAACAGTATCATTTGTGTGCCATGTCCTATACTAAGTTCTTCATATTTACATTATTTTTCTTTAATCCTCATCACAAGGTTTTTTACAGTCTGAAATCTAAAGAGGGTAAATGAGATGCTTAGCTGATACGTAGCAAAGCTGGGATCTGAAACCATGTTTGTCGAACCCCAGAGCCCTTGCTTACAGCCACCATTCTCAGCTACAACATATGCATTGCATGAAGAAATCTGTTACTGGCTCACCTGAGTTGGTGAACCAGTCTTGGTCTTTTTTAAATATATATTTTTTGATTTTGAACTTTTTTTAAGTAGGCTCCATGCCCAGTATGGATCCCAACATGAGGTTTGAACTCACGACTCTGAGATCAAGATCTGAGCTGAAATCAAGAGTCCAGTGCCTAACTGATGGAGCCACCGAGGTGCCCCGGCCTGGTCTTAGTAGTTATATATATTTTTTGACAGGGATGATGGTTTTTGCCACAAAGCCTTACAGGGTTTCCTTTGGGCCTACAGACAAAATAGGCCAGGTTAGGTGGTTCATGGCAAACATCTATTACATGGTAACTTTCTAAGCAAGGCATTTGTGAGGGGATGAAAATGCAGTATCTGTCTTCAGAAAGTTTCAATTTACTAGGGGAGATAAAATAAACACAACAATAATTACAATATAAGGCAAAACCTGGGTACCATAAGAAAGGGTCAAAGAAAATTACAGGAGTTCGGAGGCAGGAACTGAGAGAGAAGAATAGGTGGTTGGAAAAGTCTAAAATGAAGAATAGGTGGTTGGAAAAGTCTAAAGTCAATAATGGACACACACAAAAAAAGATAATAGAGGTGCAAAACTATTCTTAATTTCACCTAAACTGAGGTGCTGTGGTTTTAATATCTGGCTCTGATGCATTCCTAGGAGACAGCTTTGAGGATTATGCATTTTACCCTTTGCCAGGCAGTATAGAGATCAGGTGCTAAGACACCCAGCTGGAATCCCAACGCTGTGGTTTCTAGCAAGTTAGCAAACCTCGCTGCTGCTGAACCTATAAAATGGAGACAGAAATTTCCATCTTGGGGTGCCTGGGTGGCTCAGTTGGTTAAATGTCTGCCTTACATGACTCAGGTCATGATCTCAGAGTCCTGGGATCAGCCAGGTGTTGAGCTCCCTGCTCAGGAGGGAGCCTGCTGCTCCCCCTGCTTGTGCTCTCCCTATCTCCATGTCTCTGTCAAATAAATAAAATCTTAAAAAAAAAAAAAAAAAAAGAAACACCCGTCTCTAAGTGCTGTTATGTAAAAGGCCTAGAACAATGCCCAGGTCCTAGCAGACAGTCAACAGGTATTATGAGTTACTGAAACTATCAAAACACTGAGTGCATTTGGGAGGTGGTTGGCATCTGAATTGTATTTTGAAAGGCAAGCTAAAGGCTCCCTGTACATTTAGCTGGTCAGGGAACCCAGGACCCTCAGTTCGTGGTGCAGATTTAACCATCAACTTCCAGTGCCCCCAGTTAGGGTCAGACCCCGCCTCTAAGCAGCTGTCAAAGTTCAGGCCGCAGCACAAATGACCACACCCAGGCTCTGCCTGTGGCCAAATCTGGGTGGCAAGAGCGCTTGGCTTTCTTCTGGATGTGCGACCGGAGCAAGGGAGGGTATCAGGTTTTCCACCTAAACGAGGTGACAACGACATCTCTTTGCAGAGCGGCTGCAGGAATTACGGGGAGGATGCCTGTGAGTCATCTGGCCCCGCATCTACTCTCCTCTACCAGGGCCGGCGTCTGGGCTCGCGTCAGCGACCCCTGGACTGGAAAACGCCCAGGGGGAGACTGAGGCAGGCACGCGAGCAGACGGCCGCCTCCCGCAGAAGACTGGGTGGCCTCCCTTCTTCCCCGCCCTTGCTGGAGCGCCTGCAAGACGCAGGGACTCCTGGTCATACTCACCGGCGGCTGCGGATGGCCCCGGTGGCACCATGACGGCTCCGCGACAGTTTTCTTTTTCAAAGCCCGCGCCTGAAGCTACGGCTGGGGCATAATGCGTCTGCTCGCTCTGATTGGCTCCTGTGGGTTTGAAACCCGCCAGTAGGAAGCAGGGGAGGGCGGGACAAGAGGGAATGGGCGTCTTGCGATTGGCTCTGTCTTCGGAGCTCTCCCCGGGGCCCTTTGATTGGAAGACTGTGCATCTCCCCGGCTTTAAAGGCGGCTGCGGGGCGGCAGCTGGTGTCCGCCCCGAATCCGGCTGGTGCCTTCTCGGGCGCGGTGGGCGGCGGGTTGTGGAGTCGTTCCTGGAACCTGCTCGACCGCATAGGCAGGGCCGCCTTACACCTCAGCCCCCCAAGGTTCACAGGAGCTCTGAAAAAACAAGGTAAACCCCAAATCTGATGAATTCGGGGCGCCTCCCCAGTATATTAGCTTTGCATGTGAAGGTTCTCATGAATCTAAAAGCTCTAAGTTCTTAGTACTGCAGGGGGGCTGCTCTTATTGTTTCTAATACGTAACAGAAGTTACCATTTTAACCAGTTTTAAGCGTACAGTCCAGTGGCACGAAGTACATTTAGAATGTCAGAAAGGAAGAAATAAAATTGTCTCTCTTTTCAGATGATATGATAATATATATAGAAAACTCTAAAGACTCAACCAAAAAAACTATTAGAAACAGATGAATTCAGTAAATTTGCAGCATAAAAAAATCAATATATAGGAATGCCTGAGTGGCTCAGGGATTTAGCGCCACCTTCAGCCCAGGGCGTGATCCTGGAGACCCCGGGGATCGAGTCCCACGTCGGGCTCCCGGTGCCTGGAGCCTGTTTCTCCTTTTGCCTGTGTCTCTGCCTCTCCCTCTCTCCATGAATAAATAAATAAAATCTTTTAAATAAATCTTTATTTATCTATATCTATCTATATATATCAGTTGCATTTCTATACACTAAAAATGAACTATCATTAAGATAAATTAAGAAAACAGGGATCCCTGGGTGGCGCAGCGGTTTGGCGCCTGCCTTTGGCCCAGGGCGCGATCCTGGAGACCTGGGATCGAATCCCACATCGGGCTCCCGGTGCATGGAGCCTGCTTCTCCCTCTGCCTATGTCTCTGCCTCTCTCTCTGTCTCTCTCTGTGACTATCATAAATAAATTTTAAAAAAAATTAAAAAGAAAAAAAGAAAACAATTCCATTTACAATAGTATCAGAGTGTATAACCTCAGACCTGTTAGTGTGGTTGTCATCAAAAAGACAAGAAAAAACAAATATTGGCAAGGATATGGAGGAAAGGGAATCCTTGTACAGTGTTGATGGGAATGTAAATTGCTGCGGCCTCTATAGAAAACATTATGGAGGTTCCTCAAAAAACTAAAAATAAAACTACCAAATGATCCAGGACTTTCACCTCTAGACATATATCAAAGGAAATGAAAACACGATATCAAAGAGATAATCTGCATTTCTACATTTATTGTAGCATTATTTACTATAGCCAGGATATGGAAACAATCTAAGTGTCCGTCAAAGGATAATGTTGTAAGTATTTTAAATAAAAACAGGATCACACTGTAAAAATGTTTATGACCTATTCTTTATGGTCTCCAAAATACTATAAACAAAAATATGCACACCAAATTACAGATGTCACAAAGCTAAAATGGAAGAGCCAATATATATAAAATAGAAATTGGGAGTCTGGGGATGCCTGCGTGACTCAGTGGTTGAGCATCTGTCTTCAGCTCAGGGCGTAATCCTGGAGTCCTGGGATCGAGTCCCACATTGGGCTTCCTGCATGGAGCCTGCTTCTCCCTCTGCCTGTGTCTCTGCCTCTCTCTCTCTCTCTGTCTTTCATGAATGAATAAATAAAATCTTATTATTTTAAAAAAAAAAGAAACTGGAGTCTGGAATGATCTAGAAAGAACTGAGGCCAAATTAACAAGAATAAATTTACAGAGATACATTTAAAATTTTGAAATTAGATTCAGAACCCATAGGTGTTAATTGCCTACAAACACTGAATCACTTGCTTTCGAAGAGCTAATGTTACTTCTTAGCGAAACCTAGATGGCATCTAAAATAGGAAGGACAAGATGCCACGTCTAGTCTGTGCTGGTCTGACTATATCTTGAGTACTATACTCAGCTCTTGACAAAAATTTTATGAAAGGTATTGATAAACCAACACTGGTCAAGATTCAGGAGGGCAATTTTGACAAAGGTATATAGTCATAAAACCCAATCAAGGAATAAGTATAGATATACAAGCATATTTTACATCTACCACAATAATTATTGCTATCCCATCTATTTCCATCACTCAAGAAAGTTCAAATTTAAGTATTTTTAAGTGTCATAAGGATTACAGGGGAGGTGTTTTGGGGAAATATTTTTTGGCTTTTTGTTTTTGTAGCTTAGACTTAAAAAGGTGGAATTTTGGCTTTCTCTCATCAATTTGGAAACTGATATATAAGACTGTAATAAAAGAAACAGACCCCAACAAGTTCAGTGCTGAGACTGTTGAATTTCATTGTGGTGACCTTCTTACCAATTAGACAGTGGGAGAATTTGGACTAGAAAATATATAGAATAACATTTTTAGGCTATTTCAAGAACAATTTAATATTTCACTATTAAAAACTGAGCCGGCTATTATACTTTTAAGGTTTTCTTGAATTGGTATTGCTTGCTCAGTGCTCTGTACTTCTCAATTTCTTAAAGTATCAAGATACTAGTTTTACTGTAGCCAGACTTGGGTATGGAGACTGAGGGAAAGTTATGGCAGCTAGAAGGAGCCAGGTGAAACAAACAGATCAGACTTTTTCCTTTTTTTGTTTGTTTGTTTCTCCCCGTGGTGCCCTATATTAGTTAGGCTGAGTTTGGTTGTAAGTAATAGGAAACCAGATGACAATGGCTTAAAACCACAATAATGTTTCTTGTTTTTTTGTTTTGTTTTATGTCTGGCAGTGAGTAGGTAGGTAGTGCAACAGTGTCATCATAGATTCTGGCTTTTTCTCCTGCCATCTGTTTTCTTCAGCATGTCTTTGTGAAGGTTGCAAATTGGCTACCATAGTTCCAAACTTCACATCCTCATAGAACCTGTCTCATGCAGGAAGGATGGAAGAAAAGGACTTTCTTCTATCTTTTTTTTTAAACATTTTTTTTTTTTTTTTTTAGTTATTTATGATAGTCACACAGAGAGAGAGAGAGAGGCAGAGACACAGGCAGAGGGAGAAGCAGGCTCCATGCACCGGGAGCCCGATGTGGGATTCGATCCCGGGTCTCCAGGATCGCGCCCTGGGCCAAAGGCAGGCGCCAAACCGCTGTGCCACCCAGGGATCCCGACTTTCTTCTATCTTTTATCAGAGTAGAAAATCTTTCCCGGAAGTTCTCTCCAGAAGATTGACATTTCAATTAGATGGGATTTCCTCAACATGACTCAGTAATGTGAGGATAGAATGGACATGATTGGCTTAGATCAACTTAATTTGTTATTTAGGTCAACACATTTTGTTCTGAATGAAATCAAGATTCTGTTGGTAAGGAAGACGGAGGGTTTGGCAGTTAAACGTACAACCAACATTGTTCACCATATGCTTCTCTTCTTTTCTTTCTCTGATGTCACTTTAGGATTTTACCTGCTATAAACTTGCTGATGTCTTCCAAATCTACTATATAGTTCTAACTTTTCTCCTGAGTTCCAGACACATTATTATCTGTCCATTGTACATCTTCATTTGGGTATCTTGCCTGTAGCTTGAATTATGGCTAAAATGGTACTCCTTATACTTCACCCTGGAACTGAGAACTCCATATTTCTACCAAAAATACTGAGTAAGGAACCACTGTTCACTCATTCTCTAGGACCAGGAAATTGAGAGTCACTTTGGACTACACCTTCCTCATTATTTCCCATATCTAATTTCAAGATTCCTTGACTCTCACTTTTTCTAATTCAACATATCTTGTATCCATGCTTTTCAAATGGATCCATTAGTTTTTAATGTGGTTCTATATGTGTGAGTTTGTATGGCTATATGAACACAAGTGTTGCGTATGTGTAATGGAAGCTTTACACGAACCTGGAAATATTATCGTTCTTTTTTAAAGAAAGATTTATTTATTTTTATTTGAGAGAGAGAGAAAGAAGGAGGTGAGGGGAGGGGCAGAGGGAGAGAATCTCCCTCCTTTTTTTTAAATTAAATAATAAATTTATTTTTTATTGGTGTTCAATTTGCCAACATACAGAATAACACCCAGTGCTCATCCCGTCAAGTGCCCCCTCAGTGCCCGCCACCCAGTCACCCCCACCCCCCGCCCTCCTCCCCTTCCACCACCCCTAGTTCGTTTCCCAGAGTTAGGAGTCTTCCATGTTCTGTTTCCCTTTCTGATATTTCCTACCCATTTCTTCTCCTGAGAATCTCCCTCCTGAGCAGGGAGCCTGCTGTGGTACCAGAACTCACCACCCTGAGATCACGACCTGAGCCTAAATCAAGAGTCAGATGCTCAACCAACTGAGCCACCTAGGATCCTCTCATTCTTTTTTTTTTTTTTTTTTTTAAGAGAGATTTATTTATTTATTTATTTATTTATGACACATAGAGAGAGGCAGAGATATAGGCAGAGGGAGAAGCAGGCTCCTTAAAGGTAGCCTTGTGTGGGATTGAATCCCAGGACCCTGGATCACAACCTGAGCCATGGGTAGATGCTCAATCACTGAGCCATCCAGGTGCCCCCCTCCTTTTAAAAAACTATTTATTTATTTATTTATTTGAGAGAGAGAGAGTGAGAGAGAGAGAGAGAGATCACAAGCAGGGGGAAAGGGAGAAGGAGAGGCAGATTCCCTGCTGAGTAGGGAGCCCAACACAGGACTTGATCCTAGGACTCTGGGATCATGACCCAAGCCAAAGGCAGATGCTTAACTGACTGAGCCACCCAGGTGCCCTCCCCTTATTCTTAATATCATTTATGCATATTAGCAAGCTAATAAAGGAGAGAGAAAAACCATACAACCTTGTTTTGGTTTTCTAAAGTAACACTAATTACAGTTATTTATGTGAGGTTTTATAATTTGTTCCTAATTACCACACATTAAAATAATGATTAAGACAATACATGTGTGTCAGATTTATTTCTTTTAGTAAGTTTTATTTAATTATGACTTATAATAATGTATTAATTGTTATTGTTGATAGTAATATAATACTGTAGTTTGATCACAACTTTTAGAACCTTGGAACATTGTTTACATTCCAGAGAAGAAAGTTTAGATTTACAGTAGTCTCAAGTGACCAAAGTTGTTTATCCCATTTTAGCTAGTAAAACGTGATAGCAGGTGAAATTGAATGAAACAAGAATGCTTAAGCAATTTAAAAGTAGAAGAGTGAAAGATTGGTTAATTATCAGCACAATGTATTAATATAATTTATTATCACATTATAGGGCTTCTAGGTACTACAAAAAGCAGAACTTGGACCAAAGTGCCTTAGTGTTACTAAATCAAACTCATTTAGCCTAAAAAACACTCTTTACTATTGTTAAGGATGACCAGTAACAGAGAATGCAAGGAATTGACATAAATATAATAATATGTTATAATTACCTTAAATATATTTAAAAATATATATGTATACATAAATAGTAATAAATATTCATGCTTTCCTTTCTTGAGGCTCAGTATTTCATTCAAGAAGCATTTTACTAGACTGATCTCACTGATTGGCATAAAATTCTGTTGAGGCAGAAAGGATATCTTCCCCTCCATTTTGAAGATGATCAAACTGAGGTCCCAGAAACTTACAGTATTTGATTAGGAGTCCGTCAGCAACTTAAAGGCAAGCTGTTAGAACGAAATTCTGGGCCTATGACTTCTCATTCCAACTCCTGTTGTGGGTATTTAGTTTTCTAATGCCTCAGTTACTTAACCCATCTGTAATATGGGTAGAATCTTTTCAGTAGCCATAGTCAGTAGCCCTGGTCTTCCCAAGATTGTTATCAAGAGTAATAATGAAACTAATTGGTAGTTTGCAAAGTATAGGGTGTTCTTTAAATAACAAACAATATTATATGTTAGTGTTGGTTCCATTAGACCTTGCTCACTCTCTTACAAAGAGAGTAAACATTCATTTGGAATTACAAAGGCTCAGCACATTCTCAGCAAGTGACTACGAGTAAAGGATTGGACTCCTCCATGTACACAGTACATGTGGACTGTCAACACATCACAAGTTATAGACTCCAGAGTCAAGGCTGGGTTTCCAGTAACCAAAAGTCAGTGATAGAGGGTTGCCCTCTTGCCATGTGTACCAGTTTTCGTTCCTGTGTGGCAATGAACAACTTTGGCTGGGCAACTGATGTGAAGTAGTGCTTACTGCCATGACGCTCCCAAAAGAAAAGAAGGTTTGTCTCGTCTCTGATAGTTTTGGGTGTCTCAGGCATCTCCTATGATAAGGACAACAGAGGTATGTTAGAGAACAAGATTCTAGACAAAGAACTGAAATGCAATCCCTTGACTTCTGGCCTTTGTGAGAAATATAGCTCTTTAGGACTCTGACTCTGAAATATGATGATATAGATTCTTCATTCATTTGTTCATTCAGCAAGCATTTATTACATGACTATTAGATGTGTGGCCCAGTCTACACATAATAGTTAATTTCCTTACTTAACTGGAGAGAAATCCAAATTAGTCATGAATATTGCCAATGACACTAGTGTCTCACTGTATCCTGGCAGGTAGAGTAAGACACTGTTCTTGTCCTGCCTTCAACATGAGGATAAGACATTTTGCATAAAATCTGAGCACTAGCAATTGAGACCTCTAAACATTTTGACCTCTAAGTATGCAGATCATATCTTTGGGAAAATAATTTATTATTAGAGATGTTTATCTCCATATTTAAGCCAGCAGTTAAAAGTTTAAAAAAATCCCAAACACACACATACACTTCCAGGTATATCAGCAACTGGCTCTTCTCAATATAATTTTTGACAATTGTGATCTCTTTAGGCTGTATTATTCTTGAGAGTATGAATGGAATAACAATACTTTCATGGAAAAGTGAAATTCAGATTTCAACTTGAGATGCTTCTACTGTGTTCTTTTTAATTTAGAGAAACTTCTTAAGGTTTCCTTGGGGTTTTTAATGTCAACAAAAATTTATTTCCCAAACCCATTCCTCTCCTAGTTTTTTCCCAACTCAGTAAATGTATTTTCTTCACACCCTCCTGTTGGTTCTATCTCTAAAACATCATCAGTTCTGTCTACTTATTTCTATCTGTCTCACTACCCCAACTCCCATGACTATTATTATTATCTCCTAATTGAGCTCTGTGCTTTCTCCAATGTCTTCCTGCCAACCTATTCTCCATTTTAGAAAATATAAGTGAAGTCAGGACACTTCCCTGTTTGAAACCCTTTCATGGTTTTTCATTGTACCTCAAAGGAAACCTAAATGCAAGGCTCTGCAAACAATAGCCTCTGCTTATCTTTCCTCCTTCTTACAGTGCCCTGGTTCTAGAGTGTTCCTTCTGATTTCTGAAGCTGGCTTTAAACTCTCGAAGCTCTAGGTCCTAGATATGCTCAGATCCCTCTGTTTGGAATGCTAACCCTCACTCATCCCCTTGCATGTCATGCTCCTTCCTATCATCAGATCCCATTTCACAGGGAGCTCTGCTCTTGCCACTGTATGTAAAGAGCACTCTCCCATTTTTCTTGATCTCAGCTCCCTGTTCATTTGCTTTATGGCATCTTGTATTTTTTTGCTAGTTGTTTGGCTTGTCTACTGTCTGTGTCCTCAAGAAGACCAAGTTCTATAAGGCTAGGGACTTTGGCTTACCATGATGGTCTACATAGTTGTTGGCACTATGTTTGAAAAATAGAAGGCTCTCAATAAATAATGCCTGTTGAATGAATTCATGAATGGAGCTACTGCCCTAGTCTGTAGAGATTACTTTTACCTCAGTTGATCCAGGTAGAGAAATGCATGCACCTACAAAAATCCTGGTTGGATTTGGGGGTTTGCAATATACATTTACTAAATAAGAGTCACCTATTTATCAGTGGAGTGAGCATCTAAAGCTACAGTGGATGTGTTTAGGTGTCTATATGTTTGAGGGGAAGGTGGTAGTAGAGATGGGGCTGGGATGAGGGATAATGCTGACACCAATGAAGAGAGAGGTAATAGAGTCAAAAGGCCAGGGTTTGAGTCTTGGCTCGTTTTTTTGCTTTGTGCCCATTGGCAAGTGATTAACACTCTCTGCTCCTAGTTGGCTTATTTGAGTTTCTTGGAAGAAGGCCCCATTGTCCTAATGCCTACCATCACATAGGTCAGATGGTAGATGTTAGTAAGATGGATGCCCTGGGTTGGAAGGTGACTAGGGTCAGGCAGGGTAAGGAAAAAGAAGGAAGAAGGCAATTTACCTTTTTATTCACTCTTGCCACCTCCATTTTACTTTCTCATAGATCCTGCCTAGAAGTGCCTCTGGGGATAGGTGAGAAGTAGCATTTGGGGCCAGGTGGGCAGGTAGAAACTGTGTTAGGAAGGGAAAAGGACTGTGCCACCCTGCTAGGGGTATCTGCCTATTGGAATCATTCACAAACATGGGATGTAAATGAAGGTAAATTGGAGACTGAGAACCACTGACCTTTAGCAATACAGGTTCATCTTCATTTTGGGCACTCACAAAGAGTCGAGTTTTTGATATTCTTAGAGTCACAGGAAGTTTAGAATCTTCTGATGTGTAAGCTCCCATGTCAAACTTCACTAGCAAAGAGAAAAGCCAAAAAGGAAGTAAATCCATTGTTATTTGAATGAAATCAAGTGTTATGTAGATTGTGTGTATGTGTGTTTGTAGTTAGGTCTCCAACTATGGTGTAAACACCAGAATGGAATTCCACACATCTTTGTATCCTTCACAATGTCTGCTACATTTACTAGGCAGGTAAATACTTGGTTAATGTCTTTAGAATTTTCTGTGTTGAATGAATGCCTGGGGGCTGGCTATTTGTTGAATCTCTTATAATTACATTAGTGGGATAAGACCCTTCAACTTATGAGCTCATGAGTTTATAATAACCTAAAATGGAGGGGTTTAGGGAAGCTGATATACTCATGTTGCTAGTGCTAGTGAAAACTAGTTGCTTTCCTTAGAGAACAGTGCTTAATAAGAACTATATGATTGTTTATTCCTAGGAACCAGGAGTTCCATTTTTGGGGTATGCTCCAAAGAAATAACCTCATAGAGAAAAATTATATATACAAAGATATTTGCAGTATAGTTACTTAGAGCAAACCCAAGGCACCCAAATAGCAACATGATTGAATATTCTAGTGCCATTAAAATGCCTGGGTGGCTCAGTTGGTTAAGTGTCTGCCTTCTGCTCAGGTCATGATCTCTAGGTCCTGGGATTGAGCCCCTCATGGAGCTTTCTGCTCAGCAGGGAATTTGCTTTTCTCTTTCTCTCCCTCTGCCCCTCCCCATCACTTGTTCTCTCTCTTTCAAATGAATAAAATCTTTAAAAAAATGGCAAATATGTATGCTATTTCAATACGTGAGGAAATTATGTGAAATTATATTAAGTAGGAAAATACAGCACAAAATAATTTGTAAATGTCAAGGAGTAGAAAGCATATTATCTGAAGTATGTCCAATCAGAAAAAGCCCTGTTTGTTTTTTGCAAAGTAGTCTCTTTGGAGTTCTGAAAATAATTTTGTATACTGAGGGCATGTCCTAAAGCTAAAATACATACACCATGGAGATTGGATTTGTGTGACAAAATTTCTTGGATACTAAATTTCATCCTCCAGAACATATTGTCAGCTTATTGGGTGTTTTGCTTCACAACTATGTTATTAAAGATGATGATTCTTTTCAGTTTGATGATACTTGTAGGTTTGAGCAGCAGGCTTTCTAATGGGGAATGATTGCTCCTATTGGCTTCTGGGTAAATCTGAATAAGTCATTTAATATTCCTGAGAGTTTCTTCATCTTTAAAACCAAAGATAAGAGTGTCTGAGAGAATCAAAGGAGCTACTTCATCAGAAAGCTTTATATTCGGTGCTCTCAAAGATAGGAAACTTCTCTCTTGTATAGCTTCCTGATTTGGCTGAAGCTCCCATCCTTGCCTAGGATTTTACTGGGGATGTTGTGCTTCATCCTATTCAGTAACTATACTGAACTATACTGCATCCTACTGCAGTAACTATATTGCAAATATCTTTGTATATATAGTTTTTCTCTATGAGGTTATTTCTTTGGTGCATACCCCAAAAATGGAACTCCTGGTTCCTAGGAATAATCATATAGTTCTTATTAAGCACTGTTCTCTAAGGAAAGCAACTAGTTTTCACCAGCACTAGGAACATGAGTGTATCAGCTTCCCTAAACCCCTCCATTTTAGGTTATTATAAACTCATGAGCTCCAAGTTGAAGGGTCTCATCCCACTAATGTAATTATAAGAGATTCGACAAATAGCCATCCTAAGAATTGTGCAAAGCTAGGAATCTAGAGAGGTTTATATTTTGAAAGCAAAAAGTTAGAAAGAAATACAGAAATAAGAGGAGGGGAGAATGACAGAGCTGTACATTTACCTGCATCATCCAAATTCTGTAATGCAGCAGTCATGAGGTAATTTCCTCCTGTTTGTCGAACTATACTTTGATTGAGGTTGTCATTCAGGATGAATTGGGATTTGATGATCCTTATATAGTTGTATTTTTCATTGTTATGGAAGTTGTATGCTACTGATCTGGGCTTCATGATTACTAAAACCATTATCACAAGCTCAGATTAATGTCTATGAACAAACACAGGTAATATATCTGCTCTAATACAAGTATCAACATTAACTATGGAAGGGACATTAGGAATATTTCAATCCAGGTGAAAAAATTGAGAAAGAAGTGAAGTTACCCAGTCAGCAGAAATAGTTTCTAGGATTATCTTTGTGGCTACTTATTTCTTTTTAAACTTCAATTCCTTAGGCAGTAATTTTTTAAAAATAGATTATTTGTTAAATATTCTCATTTTGGTTGTTTGGAGGTTTCTAAGAAAACAGGAAGACTGCTAACATTCACATCTACATTTTTCAGATGAATACACTCTAAGGAAAAAAATGAATATATTAAGACTTATATTTGTTACTGAGGATATAAGTCTAAATGACAACCCCCTTTCTGAACAGTGGTATAAATCAACAACTTCACAAATCCTCATGGTTCTGAGTAATTTTATGACTAGGAATCTATTCTAAGGAAATAGTGATAAAAATAAGGATATAATATGGATGTTAATTGTTATATATTTATAATGTTGAAAAATTGGTACTCTAGAATGCCCTTGGTATATTGCTAAGTGAAAAAAGCTGAATATAAGATTGTATATAATATAATCCTCATAATATTTGTTTATATGTGTGTATGTGCATGGAAAAGACTTTAAGGACATACCATAGTTCTGGCAGTGGCAAACTCTTAGTGGTAGTATGAATAATTTTTATTTTCTTTTACATTTTCTTTTATCTTCCTGTTTTCTAGGTGAATGTGTATCAGTGTTTACCTGTTACTTTAAAAAGCTATTATTGGGCAGCCCGGGTGGCTCAGTGGTTTAGCGCCTGGAGACCCGGGATCGAGTCCCACATCAGGCTCCCTGTATGGAGCCTGCTTCTCCCTCTGCCTGTGTCTCTGCCTCTCTCTCTGTGTCTCTCATGAATAAATAAATAAAATCTTAAAAAAAAGCTATTATTTAAAACCTATTGGGTTTATGTTTCATGTAGAGGCTTATACAGTAGAAGCATGGGAGAATAATCCTGACTGTTAAAATCAGAACTGAATTTGGTTTAAACTTCTTCTGCTTATACACTATGTGACTTCTCTAACTGAGCTTAGTTTTAGTTTCCTCCTATGTAAAATGAGAATATTAGATTGTTGTGAAGTGTAAGGATAATATAGCCAGTAATAAATTAGCAATGTTGGTAGTAGTAAGAAAGGTAGTAGTAGTAATGGGAGTAGTAGTAGTAGGAGGAAGATGAGGAGGAATAACAAAACCTAATGTTTATTGGGTATTTATGTTCCAGGCATCATTCTAGTCCAGGAGCTTGCAAGTATAGATTCATTTCATCTTCACAAGTGGGGCCCTGATTATCTCCATTTTACAGTAGAGGAAACTGAAGTATAGAAAGGTTAAGTAACTTACAAAGGAGCATAGTTATTATCTGGAGGAACATAGCTTGTGAGTAGTATGTAACTGCTTTCTGTCACAAGGATAAAAGGCACATGACCTTTACAATATGGCCACAAAATGCACCCGTGAGGAAGTATTCTGTAGACTCAGGCAACTCACTGCTGCTCTCTTCCCACTGGAGAAGGACAAAAATTAATTTTCCTTCCTTGTGGTTACTAGACTGATGTCTGGTTGCCCCCTTATTACTCTTATTCTAGGTTTTATTTTCTGCTAGCTCTGTTTGCTTAAAAATGGAAAACAAAGATATTATTTGTACTTGACCTCTTACCTTCTTCTGTGTCATTGGCAATGTCTTCCAGGTCATCATTGGTGATGAATTGACTTAAACTCAACCGTCTCTTCTTTAGAATCTTCCCATTGGCTGCCACCACTACCACACTTTCCTTGAAGGTAAGCTGGGATGTCTTTGAGATTTCAGAGGTACTCAGAGACATGCAATCCTTATGAAGTGGGTCACAGCTCATATCATAGAAGGATTTCTATGAAGAAGGAAAATAGAAACTGAAGGGCTATATGTGGTCATAGGAAGAGATCCCTTTCAGCAGAAGTTTTATCTAATAGATTTAGTGAGAAGGATCTCTATTTCATCAATCTTCTCCCCTTTCCCTCTCTCCTTCCCTCCTTCCCCCGTCCTCTTTTTCTCCTTCCCTCCCACCTTTCCCTTGGAAAATCTGTTGAGCATGGAGAATGTCATCAACAATTAGTGTAGAGAGGCAGTTGGTCTCACTTATAATGAAGAAATATATGTCTCTGAACCTCTAGTGAGGGCGAAACAAAAGCTTCTAGGATTCAAGCTATTGCTGTTTTCTCCTGGTAGAGAAAATACTGCATAAGAATAGTAACCCCATAAGAATTGCAGTCATTTACTTACCTGATTCAGAGAGAGATGGTCAATTTCAGAACTGTATTCTTCATTTTCACTGTCAAACAAGATAATGAGAATGTAATTCTGTTTGTTACATCTCTGCAGTTGTTTTAATGACCACATTAGCTTTGGTAACATACATGGTCATTACTGCCATCTTTGAAAATTAAGGATTTCTATACGTATACATACATATGTGCAGTAATTTGTGCCTCACTAATTTGGAATTAGTAATCATCAGTAATTGTCACTGAACTGTACCTGTGCTTTATCTCTAAAAATGGGGCTTGGCTAACAAATTGAAGGGTTGTAGTTGAATTTCAAGGAAAAATGTTAACCTCCTCAGAGGAAAATGCTTTTGAAGCATTAAAATTTTTAAAAAATGTTAACCAAGTAGGTCATGTGTTATACACTACTTTCATGTATTCACTTAAACAGATGTAATAATGTATACTTGGGAACTATCCAGGCAACATTTTGATAGCTTGGTTTGTGTTAGTATATACTAATAGATAATGGGAATACCTTGTTTGTTTAAAGTATCCTATAATTTAACATTTTATTCATTTACCCTTATGTCTGAATGAGTTTTGACTGTGTGTGTGCATTCACATGCTCAAATTGCTATGGAGCCATTACCTATTCCAGACTGAGATCCAGAAGTTTTCCTGAGAATGATTTCTCTCTCTGACAGTCCATTAAAACCCATTACAATATCAGAGTATGTGAACCTGACTGAGGCTGTGTCTAAGTAGATGTTGAAATTCATTAGTTCTTAGGAGACAGTAAAAATAATTTTTCAAAAAAAAATAATTTTTCTAAAATGGCTATCTCCCTGTCAGTGTCATCTCAGTGTAGCATGCTAGAAGCTTACTCTTTCTGGATCTTTGCTGAATCTGCCCTGACTTCAGAGGTAGGACACATCTCTATTTATGCTTCTGCCAGTCTGGCTCCATGCTAGTTACTGTAATCCTAGGTAGATTATCATGTACCTTGATCTCCTCATTAAATTGCAAGAGATAGAACTGATTTCCTACCTGTAACAGTTCTTCAGGTCTTCAAAGAGGTCAGGAACTTTGGCCATCTTGATTTCTGCAACAGAGAACATGAGTGGCTGTCAGCTTAGCCAGCCACTGAACCAAATACCTGCAAGCGGAATCACCACTGCTTTGTGCTTCTTGAGAAGCTTAATGAATGACTTAGTCCACACTCAGCATTTTCCCCATTCTTCTTTTCACTCCCTTGTGTTATCTGCATATGTATCTGCCTCCTCTCCTAGATTGCAAACTTCTTTTAAAGCTTTGATATTCTCTATGTGCTCAACCCAGTGCATTGTACACAGTAGGTATCCAATGAATGCTTGGATAAATTAAAGAAAAAACCTACAAGAATGAGGTATTTGCCTTACATAGATGTAAGAGAGAGACAGATTTGGAAATTTCTAGTTTTCTCTTAGTAATTTTGGTAATAGAGCCTCCTTCCAAGGGAAGGCTCGGCTGCACCCACAATGCCTTCATATGAAACCAGTTCTTCTGTTCCTCAGTTCCTCATCAGTAGAAAGAATTATTTTCTGAAATCTGACCGTGATTATAACTCACACACCAAACCAGGCACAGACAAGAAAGGAAGGAAAAGGCTTGAACTTCAGAGAAGGCAGTTTGAGAGACAATGGCCAAGGAGAAAAGCAAAATATATTTTAAAAGTCAAAGATGTGATAAGGACAATACCTTTGCTGACTCAGGAGACAATGAAACGACTCCCTCTCTGTCTGGATACTTAGCCCTAGTCAGACTACTTCGCCTTTTGTCTTCTTGGAGTAGGCGTGGTCTGTGTGCGTCACAGGGGAATTTACAGGGAAGAATTGTATTTTTTTTTTTTTATCTTCCTTTAACCGGAAACTGGCCAAATAACGACAGATTACATACTTGATAATAGTGTTGTTTACAGAGATTCCAGGACTTCCTAACTTGGCTCATTTATATGGCTTTGCTCTAAACAATTATAAACATGTAGTCTTAGAAAAAGGGAAGAAGGACAGGAAATTTAAGTTTCTAAAAACATAGTGGTGGCGAGGAAGAGAGAACTCCTAAAATCAGAATTCTAGGTGGTTGGAATTAGACAGGAACTTAGGAACTGTAGTTTGTGTTTTAGCTTAATTTGTTTTTTGTACCCCAGCGCTGAGTATGGATTGATGGAATGCTTGGCAGCCCCTGGCAGATAAGGATTGGCTGTGAGGGAAGATGATCTATCTTTTCTGAAGAGGGAGATTTGCTTGAATAGGCATAAATCACTCTGAGAATGTGGAGACAACCTCCTGGTTAGGGCAGGGTAGGGGAGAGAAAATGATAACTATAAGAAGTCTTAGTCCTCTTACTCCTCTGAATATTGTTAACCCATTTCCTACAGAAGTGACAGGGCTTTAGGAGAGAACTCTCTGCTCTGGCCATGTTATAGCAAAGTGGCTCTCTATCAGGACCCAAAGGAAGTCTGGTCTTTTCTAGAATAAACCTAAGGTGTGTGAGGATAGCTGCAGACTCAGGGAAATATGGGCAAGCCCTGGCCAAAAGCTGGTAGCTGGATTTGAGAATAGAGGTTGAGGGAAGGGGAGGGACTTTTATATAGACACTACATCAGTGTTGCCTGGCTGTTATTATCAAAGATTTTATTGGCATCTTGAGGCTGGCCCAGTTCAGGTGGTACAACATCAGACTCTTGGCAGATAAATGTTGAAGGTTTCCTGGTTGGAGTTTAAGCCATGTAAAAAGAAATTTTTTTTTAAAGATTTTACTTATTTATTTGACAGAGATATCCAGAGAGCATAAATGGCAGAGGGAGGAGAAGCAGACCCTCTCTGAGCAGGATGACTGATGCAGGGCTCCATCCCAAAACCCTGGGATCATGACTTGAGCCAAAGGCAGATGCCTAGCCAACTGAGCCACTCAGGTGCTGCTAAGCCAAGTAAATTTTAGATAAAGAAAATGGATGGAAAAAGAGGGTAGAGGAGAGGAATAAAAAGGTAAAGAGAGAAAGTGAGGCACTGCAGTGTAACATGGTATAAAAAGGCAAAACTGCTCAGAACTGGGAGTAAAGTGGCTGTGTGAGTTGGGTAGAGTATTTTCTCTAGTCTTATTTAACAGCAAGTAGGGGTTGGTTAGATGTTCTTTAAGGTCTAGACTAAGTGCAAAATCTCTGATTCTGATTCTATTGCCAGTCCAGATCCTCTTGTTCATAAACCTGGTCACAATAGTTATAAACAAGAGCCACAGAAATAATGTATCCTAGATGTAGGCAATGTAAATTTAAGACTAGATTGGGACAGATCTTGCGTGTCTCTGGAAGGATCCTTGTTTGAATGGTGATGGTAGCCAATTTTCTATGTCTGTGGTTCTCCTTTAGGCAATACAGATATTAATCCTGGTTATTCCTTCTGCGTCCTGGAGATCTTGTGAGGGCTATTACCAAGAAATAATTGCAAACCACACTATGAATATGGGCTGCTATGGAGATGCAACTAAACAAAAATAATAACAATGCTAATGATAGCTTCTGTCACTTGGGAACCTATATAGTCATTATTGTAACACCTTACTTCACTGAAGAATATATAGTTCTTATGAAAACATTGCTTTGAAAATTTTAACAAGGAGGACATTTTCAGGTGAAGGCCTCCCTTGAAACCCTGAAGATATTTAGTTCCTGGAAGGAATGTATAGCACCTGTTTGGTAATCCAGGAAAACATCCTTGGTCCTACCTTTAGTGGTTACACCCATCCTGGCCTATGTCCCTCATGTAGAGAATTGGAATTCCCCGAATATGGTTATTGACTTTCTCAAGGACAGTTGGAATTTTTTCTAGATAGCCAACTTAGGCTGAGATTTCACTAAACTTTTTCCTTCATATGACCTTTTTGGAAATTGGCTTTTAAAGGGAACAACATGGATGAGGTTTAGAGAGTGGGAGTTCTCACTTTGGGGGAACCTACTTTTCTGTATGTATGTACCTGTACTGACTTGTAAGTCTCATCACTAGACCATCTCTACCTAGGGAATGGAGAGAGAAACATGCTAGGTAGAGCTCTGTTGGAGCCCAGGGGTCCTTGGGGGCTTCAAATACCCATCTCTTGACTCTGAGGGGGCTTCAACAACTGTTAGTCAATTTCCACCCAGATCATATAGAAAAAAAAAGTTTATTGTGTACTTATTCTGTGCCAGAGTTTTTGTTAGAAATAAGCATTTTTCTTTCAGGAGTCACCAAATTGGATACAAGATGAGATGATATGTTTTGGTTGGTAAGTGGATACACTTTATTAGCCTGGAAGTTGTAGGTATAAAGAATCATGGTGGTGCTTTTCATTGAAAACTGCTTTATACTTCACAAAGAGCTCTCACTTGTATTGTCTCACTGGCTCCACACTTAACCCACAGAGGTAGTTGCTATCTCTTTTCACATCTGAGGGGCCTTGAGGAGGTTAAGTGGACGGTTGTCACAAAACTGGCAGAGCCAGCCCTCTAACTTCGGGTTTCTGTTCCAAGTCCAATCTTGACTTTCTAGTGCATTTAGGTGCTCAAGTCTCTTGCCTCCACCAAATGCCATATGATGGGGCTGAAAGAGATCATTTTTGAAGGTCTTGTCAGCCTCAAACACCCTGTCGTTGATTCTAGGATTTTTTGTTGTTGTTTAAAAGAAAAGATGAAAAAAGAAATGATTTGAAATATCCCCCTTCCCTCTCTCCTCCTCCATCAATGAAATCTCATTTTGTTCTGTGACATACAGGAAAAGGATGGAGGTGGTCAATGTAGTTAAGAGCATGGACAGTGGTGGAGTCTGGATACAGACTTTAGCCATACTCTTGCCATTGTACCATGAAGACAAGAGAAGATCTTTGGAACCAACTTTAAAATCATTGCATGTAGTTGGATCTACAGCATTGCTTGAATGAAAAAGTAAACATAACTCTTCCCTATGAAATTTTCAGGGGATGTAATTATTTGTTTTCAGGTTGTAGAAGTCTTCTTCAGAGGAATGAAGTGTGCATAAACCATTACATACAGAGACAATTGAGCCTTTTGTCTCATCTCATCCTATTTAATTATAACCTGCTTTTAAATTCTGTGACAGTTAGTGGGAAGGAGGAAAGGATCTAACATAGTCTTCCAGTTGTTATAATACATTTTCTCATTTAATCTTCTCATTAGCCCTGTGAGGTAGGTATTCTTATCACATTTTATAGAAGAGGAAGTCAAAGTCCAGGGAGATTAACCAATTTGTCTAAGATTTTGAGGTTACCAAATTGCTGAAATGGGATTCAGATACCAGAGCCTAAGACTCAAGCAACTACTGGGCTCTTTTTCTTAGTGTGACCTCTTCCTTTTCTTTATTCTTTTAAAAAAATTTAAAAAGATTTTATTTATTTATTCATGAGAGAGAGGCAGAGACACAGGCAGAGGGAGAAGCAGGCTCCATGCAAGGAGCCCAATGTGGGACTCGATTCCGGGTCTCCAGGATCATGCCCTGGGCTGAAGGCAGGCTCTAAACCACTGAGCCACCTGGGCTGCCCCCTGAGTTGATTTCAAGTTTCATTTAGACCCATTCTTTTTTCTTTTTTTAATTTTCTATTGAGGTATAACTAACACACCATGTTATATTAGTTTCAGGTATATGATATAATGATTCTACAATTCAATATATTTCTCAGTGCTCATCAATTTAAGTGTACTCCCTTGCCTTCTCCCTTGGTACACTGTCTTTCTGTCTTTTACAGATGCACTTAAAATCAGAGTTCATTAGGGAGGTTCTGTGTGACCACAGTCATGTCTATACCTGTCTCTCATTTTTCTTCTTGCTGGCTAATTGTGATTGCCTAATCAGAAGAGCATTTTAGAGAAATTCCCGTTTCTTTTGAGTCATTTTCCTCATGGAATCATAGTTGTCTCTGGTCTGAACTTGTTTCACAATTAATAAAAAACTTGGATTACTTTTCTGGATTCTAAAACATGATTATTAAATATTGCTAAGGAAATATAAAAAATATAAAAAGAAAATAAAATCCACAAACAAATAACTAGAGGTATTCAATATTACTATCTTGGTGTATTTTCTTTCATTTGTTCCTTTTTTAAGGCATATATAGCTTTGTTTTTATACAAATGGGATACTCTGAGCATTTCAATATTTGCTCCTCTGAAATCTAGGGAATGTATATGTGGCAGATTCTCCTTACCAAAAATCCATTTGTGGGATTACTTGATAAATGTCTGTCTTCATTTCCTAGTCTCCCTTGCATGGGTAAGGGATATATGGTTCCTTCTGGCCAAAGCGTGAGCAGGAAGTGATACGTGATATGTTATACTTCTAGGCTTATGCAATTGAGGGCCAATGTATGCTTCCGTCATCTCCAGCTTCCTCTGATGCAGCAATTTTGGAAGTCACGTATTCCAGATGGTGTGGCTACAAATGGATGAGGTGTGGTTGCAGATGTATGAGACTAGAACAATCTGCATTTATCTTTGCATGAGTGAGAAACAAATCTTTATTTATTTTAAAAGATTTTATTTATTTATTTGAGAGAGAGAGAGAGAGAGAGAGAGAGAGTTTGAACAAGCAGGGGGAGTGGCAGGCAGAGGGAGAGGGAGAAGCAGGCTTCCCGCAGAGAGGGAGCCCAAAGTGGGGCTCAATCCCAGGACCCTGGGATCATGACCTGAGCCAAAAGCAGACACTTAATTGACTGAGCCACCCAGATGCCCTGAGAAACAAATGTTTGTG